CCACTGTCTATGGCATTGATGAAGATATTAAACAGTACTGGTCCCAATATGGACCCCTGCGGGATGCCACTCGTCACCAATCTCCATCTGGACATTGAGCCGCTGACCACTACCTTCTGGATGCGACCATCTGACCAATTCCTCATCCACTGGACAGTCCACCCACCAAATCCATCCCTCTCCAGTTTAGAGAGAAGGATGTTGCGGGGGACCGTGTCAAAGGCCTTACAGAAGTCCAGATAGATGACATCTGTAGCTCTTCCCTTGTCCACCAATGTAGTCACTCCATCATAGAAGGGAAGGCCACTGGTCAGGCAGGACTTTCCCTTGGTGAAGCCCTTGGTGTAGCTTCTAAACAGCTCTGTCTAGACACAAAACTCTTCTTGTTTTCTATTACTTTGTGCAAAAAACCAGTGAGAACCAGCTATCAAATAAAAATGTGGGAGAGAAGTGCAACTCACCAAGATGGTCACCACCAAATACTGGAAGTGATTGCGAAGATCAGCAGCATGAGTGCAGAATAGGACAAAGTTGCTCTGCTCCAGCTGTTGAATTGAAGACATTTGGTGACCAGCAAAAAAGGAAGGAAAATTAAAAAAGACAGAAATGATGTCACACTCCATACTAGCCAAACATAGTTGGTGACTGATTTGTTAAATGTAGGATTTAGGAGTCTCGTTCTTCCCTCGTTTGCAACAATTTAAAGAAGCAATAACTCTCCTGCTATCAGTGGAGGAACACACCAATAATATTGGGGCAAGCAAGAGGTAAACCATGCACCTAATACAGCATAAAAATGACCAAAACAGGAACTGCCTTATGAGAGGATTCTGTCTAAAGGCTTTATTCCCTATGTTGCAATTGCCTTGTGTTGTTGTCACAGCCACAGCTGCAGACTACCGCAAGAAATTGCTCTTCCTTTTCCATAGCAATGCCATAAATCTTTCACCAGAAGCTCTGACTCCAAAACAAGTTACTCTTCAGCTGGAATTACACTCATGCCAACTTCCTGTAGTAAAGCAGCTAACTGCTGGTTTTGTATACAACCTTGGCTGTGGAACATAGCTTTGGGTCAGATATCTCTATAAGTCTGAGTACTCATTGGATGGGAGAATCTAGCTGCCCTGTATTATAATGACAGATGAAGCCACTGCCACCATGCTTTTGCAGAACTCAGGGGGGTTCTGAACACCAGCATATGGTTCAGGCCCAGCTCCAGCAATTCTGCAGAAGTGGAATGACAGAGGAGGATTTAATACTCATGCCACAGTAGTGTGATCAACTCTTGCTCCTTTGTGTGCTTGTAGATTATAAGTGGCCAATCATCTGTATACAAATTAGGATAAAAGTTATATCCCTTCTCCATTGCCACCAAAGCCTTCCCAAGCTTGTGTCCCAGTTTATGCTGCCTTCATTTTAGATGTAGAATATCACACTCTGGGATTATGACCAATGCATCTTTACCTGCCTATTCCTTTGCTCACCAGTAATCCACTCACTAAATTCCATGAAGTCAGTGTCCCTTCCTTGAATAACAATAGCAAGGGTTGCTCATGCTGGCTGAACTGGAGCAATACAGCTTCCAGCTTCTGCCTCCCCTCGCACCTTCCCTTCAGTCTGCACAAATAGAAAAATAAAGAGATATGGACTGACAGAAGGTATTTTCCTCTCTGGGTGTTGTCAGCAAGTAGTTGGCTGCCAGCAACTAGATGTGTGCTGTATCCTTACTGACTGATTGGATGCTGGAAGGATCTGGACCATAAGGGACCTTTCATCATCTCCCTGTCTCTGCTGTTGCTCACAGTGCCTGCAGCTCCCAGATGTAAGCAGAAATGCTTCTCCTATTGTTTCTCGCCCTTGGGCCTTCCAGCAAGGACTGACAGATACTATAAAGGACAGCCTACTAATTGTGCCCAAATCCAGGCCAACAGGAAACTTCAGTGCTTCTTCGGCAAACAGACTTTTACGCAGCCCTTCCAAGGAACTTACTAATTCACCAGGACTGCTGGTGAACACAGCGCTGCTCTCTTAACATGCCCTGTTCTTGCCCTCTGTCCCGATATTCACTTGATCAATGGCTCATGTGACTAAGAGTCTGTTGACAAAAACGTGAATATTATTTGCTTTTCCAAATAAAGCCAACTTCAACTGATACGTACAGGTTCACATTAAAATAACATCTTTACTGAGTTGAACATAGCTCAAAAATCAAGCTTTAAGATGACTGCTGGACTGGGGAGTAAGGGTTTCTTACTGAGTGGCTTTAAGGTTTTCTACAGCTTTTCTCTATGGGAGGACATATTGCATCTTTTTGTGAGAGCCACATTCAACTGCAGGTCCTCATTTGAAAATTAGCTCTATCTAGCTCTGAGACAGGTAAGACCTCCTGCCTCTGAACATCATCCTACTCTGACCTAATGCCTTCCATCACAAAAGACTCCATAAGAACCAGTTCAGCCACTATCTGAGAACAGCCACCAATGCAAAGGAAAGGGGCAATGGTTTAAAGCAGCACACACTATAGAGAACAGAGAGAAGAGAAAAAGCATTCTCTAAGCAACTGAAACCACAGGGTACTGTAGATGGATAACATATAATGACCCAATCTGGGTCACTAGGACTAGTTCCTCACCTTTTATGGGGGGAAAAAAAAAGCCATCTTTAAATGGTCAGGACTTTGGTTTCGCTTCTCGTTTGAAAGAACCATCTCCAGCCGCGCAGGACCCCAGGCACCAAAAAAGGACTCTGGTTCCCTACTGATTTGTAGGGGAAAGCACCACCCCCTAGATCACCACCTCCAATCGCCAGCCAAAGGTTATTTGCATTTTAGCTGCCGCAGACTCTCCCATGCTGGGACTGGAATGAGGCCAACACACAGACTTAGAGAGTCTGAAGTTACCTGAACTGCTGTCGAGATGAGAAGAAATGAAGCCGTAAGCTTCACGTACGGACCATGCTTCATGGTGAGTCCAAGCCCCTTACAAAAAGGAATTGCTCTGTCTGAATTTAAGGCATAAGGATCTAAGAGGAGCAGAATACATAAAATAACAATCTTTTCCACAGATGAATGTAAAATAATTATTATTAAATCTAGGGATATTTAAATATGTCTTACCATCTTTTTCCTTTACTCCAAGAAAGAGAGTGACAATTCCAAGAAGATACACACCTCCTATGACCCCTGCTGCAATCATATAAACTCTTGCCTTTGAAAAGAAAAAAGACATATTTGAAATTGTGACAGGAGAATGACAAGTCATTATGAAAATTTCAGTCTCTTTCTGGTGAGTCATCCGTAAATGAAGAAATGCCCATCTACATACAGCCAACTGTCTTTTATCTCTCTGAAAAATGTTCACTTCTGCAGTTCATTTCTAAATAACACCTACTTTAGGATAAATCCAGGGCACATAAGTATATATTTCTTGCAAAAAAAAAAAGAAGCTGTGAACAAAAGGGCTACTGTGTTGGCAACCTGAACGTTTTAAAAATTTGCGTATGTTGAGACTAGCTATAGACATACACAGTCATCTATCAAAAACACGCAGCATCTGTAGAGTGATTCTAATTTTTAGTAAATCCAGTTGATCTAGCTACACAGACTGCAATCTGTATCTTCATGCTAGGTGGGAAAGGCCTCAGTACTGATGTAAACATAATTACTACAGTTACTGCATTTATACATAATGATAATAAAAACTTCCTTTAGGCTCTAATGAATTTTAGAAATCACACTTTCATGCCCATGTTTTGAGAATATGGTAGCTTGCATGCTTGTTTTCCCAGTTGCTTAGTGAAATACTCAAGCAAATTCAGAAATCTTTGCTTCCTATTAGCCAGGGGAACAAAGCCTTCAAGGATACCTCCCACACCATCAGATCACATTTATTGTTTCTAACTCTGATTACACTGGCTCTGGAATAAAGCTTTAAAAAAATTATTTTGCTTTAGTATTCTTTAATAATTTATTTTATACTGTGTTATCAAAGATAAAATAAGTGCTGGTTATAGAGCTTTATGACATAATGATTATTTGATAGGAAAATTGAATTCTAAATTATCAGTTATATGTTGCAAATGAAATGACTATAAATCTAGGAAGCAGTTGGTAAATAAGCATGCAAAATTACAAGAATGTACTCCCAAATATAAAGTCACTTAGTATAGATGCAAAGGTAGTCAGATGAACCATGTAAGTATAGACGATCATGACAACAGCTTTTGTTAAGATATTTGCATTTCAGAACGGGACACGGTGAAATAAAGAAATGCAGGACTATTCTTTATTTGGGATGAAGGTTTGGGTTTTTTATATCAGAGCTATAAATTAAGTGACAGAGTACTTTTATAGTATTGGTTATGTCTTGCACAGACTACAGACTGCAGTATTGTAGATACCTGAATTCACTCAAACGAGTGAATTTCAGCCTCAAAAGCAGCCTAGCTAGGAGAGAAGGGGCTGAAAAAAAGTATAGTAACAGGACTCTATTATGAATTTTATATTTCGTGTCTATTTATTTGTTAATGTGCTTGAAGCAACTGAATTAAATGCTTTCTTTCACAGGTCATCATTAAGTGTAATTTGAGCTTAAACTATCAATGATATTCATGGTAGGCCGGATGAGATTCTCTCACTCTAAACAAAACTTGTTAGCCCATCTATGAACTATATCAATATCCATGCTTGGTTTCCAGTAGGAAAGATCCACCCCTAAGCTTACAGTAACAACTTCAGGAGAGCTTAGAAATAACCATTTCTTCCACTTCCTTTCTTTAATAATGAGCAAAATAGTATAATTCACTAGGTCTTCTTTTAAACTAGGTGTGCTCTTGAGCAGCTAAGAATTAGTCCTCATGACAAAAAGGATCAGGGTCATACTCCTGAATGGCACTAAAAGAACCGGTCAAGATTCAGCCTCTTCTAAATACTTTTTTTAGACTGATGGAGGTACTTCAGGTTCATAGACCCTAGTCCTGCCTCAACTTATAACTGTCCATCAGTCATACAACCAAAATTCAAGATCCAACATCTCCGGTTGATCGTGTAGTTAGGTGTGTATTCTGCTGTGCGTGGTGTGAACAAAAGGCAAGTGTCCTGCCATGCAATGCAAGCAGCTCCCCCACGTGGCTCAGTGGCCATTCATGCTCCTATAATCCAACCAAATTGATGCCAGGTTACGTGAATGGCAAAAAATTCCGGTCCTCACAAAACAGGGTAGCAGGGAGTGAGGTGGGTTGCCAGAGCAGTTCATTCAGACTATGGCCTCTGCCCAGGCCTGAGGGCTCTTTGGGAAAAAGGGCAGGAAAGAACAAGGAATGAACAGAACCTTACCCATGGAAAACAGTTGGACATCATAATCCAGACCATTCTCAACCATGGGATACTACTCATCTACAAAACCTGAGAAGGTGACACGCAAAACAGTGGGAGAAGGAAAAAAACAAAGACCAAAACAAATAAACAGGAAATCCTCACAAAAAATGAACACATGGCTGCTTGTTAATAAGGAAGTGAAATGAGGAAGGTAATATCTTTAATTAAATCAACCCATATAGTTCGGGGGGAAAAAAAAAAAAAAGACAAGTTTCCAGTCACACTGTGACTTCTTCAGATCTGGAAAATGTTTGTGTGTCTAAAAACTTTTCCATTGTTTCCCAGTGTTAGTAGCTAGCTTCATGAAAGATACTACTTCTACCTACAAACTCTGGATACTTTAGGCTATGTATCTTTGCTATTTTTTTCAAAATAAAAAACTACTTGACATTCAACTCATTGTGAAGCTTCTTTCTCCATCTCCCTCCTATCTCAAAAAGGACAGGAAAGCACATGTGGTTAGACAGAAAGGAAATAAATAAAGATAATGTATTTTTTTTTCCTTGAAAGCCATTTAAGAGATTTGGAAATGGAAGTTGGTGATTATGGCATAAAGCAGATTCAGACAGGGAATCTGCTGTGCAATGAAATTCAGCTTCCTCCACAACTTTGCAAGCTACTCCTCTTGACAATTCACAGAGCTGTAATAGCACAGTAGTTTACTACATCAAGCCATTGTCCTAGAAGCTAAAAAGGGAGACAGGATGATGTTCTGTGTCTTTTTAAAATATACACTAGAAGTTACCTAACAAGCAGCTTCAAAAACGCTTTAAACAGCTATAAAATGGCATGGCCACTTACAGAAGCAGCCCAGCTCTCCCCAGGCAGTTTCCCAGGTCAGCTCTCTGAGAAGCCATACAATGACCTGTGCCAAAAACCAAGGATCAAGTAGCACATAGGCAGAGAACAGTGTCTGGGAGTGGGGGGAGGCAAGGGTTGGTCCCCTTCCTGGACTACCAGTGCTGGTGCCAGGGTATGCAAATTCAAAGCACGCATAAAAACATGCCTTAAGCTTATGATTTTACTGCTGCTGAAGAGTGGTAATAGGAGCTATTCAACTACAATAAGCAGAGCACAGATACGTACATCCTGATTTGCACCAAGCACCTGAGATTAGACTCAGGTCAAGGAATCTTTTTCATGGGGAATTTTATATATCAGTTAGTACATGCACTGACAGAGTAATATAAAATAGAAAAAGAAAGACTGAATCTAGCAATTGGTAAAATGGAACCAACAAACTGCAGATTTCACAAGTGACATAGAAAAAAACACTACACAAGGTAATTGTTTGATTCAAGGCCTGTTTCAAGACCACTGGAAACAATGGAAGACTATCAAATTGTGTTCACTGAGGTTTGGATCGGGTTTTAGGATTTCCTCCCAGATATAAAAGCTTCTCTGTTTCTCAAAAAAATAGCAAACTGAAGCATGAAGAGATTAAATTACTTGTGCAGGATTACAGGAAAAATCTGCTGTGGAAAATGAAATAAACAAGTATGGATTCTCTAGGTTCTTTCCACATGTTAACCACTGAGCCCTGCTCCCACTAATTGCCTGTTACCAACCATTTACTTTCAATAGTGCTTTGTACCTTCACAAAAATACAGATTCCAAGTAGGACTTACAGTTTTGTTCACATAACAGCCATTAATCTTTACAGGAGATCCCTAGTGATAACTACATTGAAAAGCAGTGTTGCTGAACTGAAAGATCCTGCTATAGCCACCATTTTTTCATAGAATCATAGAATTATTTGGGTTGGATGGGACCTTTAAAGTTCATCTAGTTCCAACCCCCCTGCCATGGGCAGGGACATCTTCCACTAGATCAGGTTGCTCAGAGCCCCATCCAACCTGACCTTGAACACTTCCAGTGATGTGGCATCCACCACCTCTCTGGGAAACCAGTTCCAATGTCTCACCACCCTCATCGTAAAAAATTTCTTCCTTATATCCAATCTAAATCTACCCTCTTTCAGTTTAAACCCATTGCCCCTTGAGCTGTCACTACAGGCCTTGGTAAAAGTCTTTTTCCAGCTTTCTTATAAGTCCTCTTTATATATATTGAAAGGCCACAATAAGGTCTCCCCGGATCCTTCTCTTCTCCAGGTTGAACAAATCCAACTCTCTCAGCCGTTCTTCAAAGGAGAGGTGTTTCGACCCTCTGACCATTTTCGTGCCCCTCCTCTGGACCCACTCTAACAGGTCCATGTCTTTCTTGTGCTGGGGACCCCAGAACTAGATGCAGTATTCCTGGCAGGATAAAGTAAGTTTTTCTTTTTAAGCTTCTATTTTAAACTGTAAATCAGCCCCTAGTGAAAACATAGGATGGCCATATACCTCCTAGCTACTTTACAGTTTGGCATCTTCAGCGGAGCTCCTCAGTGTAATTCTGCTGTCACACTGAGAAGTGGTTGCAAAGACAACAGACGGGAAGCCTTGTTTGCAACAAGGTCGTCATCGTCTCAGCTCCAGTGTTACTGATTTCAAGGAAGTCACGTTCATGCTCATCCAGCTGGGTCATATGATATGGTATTACAGAAGCACCCCCACCCCTCTCCCTAAGATTTTAGTGTGCTCCCATAGATACTTACTTGATGAGACAGGGGATCTGAGGGGTCTGGAAAGCTGGGAGTGTCATGCCAGGAGTCGGTTGTGTTTACTGGGGGATTCACAGTGCAGTGATGAGAGACATGAGCACTGGCCACAATCTGCCCCTGAAGTGCAGCTCCAATCAAGGTCCCAAGCACTTCCATGGTCATTCCTAAAGCAGGAAGCACAAATGTGCATTGAGGATGAGAACGCAATTCCTCCACTGTCTGCAAGCTTGCTCATTTGTCTCACTGAAGAGAAACCTCATCAAACCACTTTCTTTTACAGGGAACAAGCAGAAAAAGCAATACCAAGAACAGCAGAACGGGAAGGTCAGTCATAGAACAGTTTCAAGGAGAGTTTTGTCACCTATTTTGTGACCAGCTTTTAGAAGCCTCCATGGAAGAACCTTTTCTATACAAGCTGCATGATGGATACGGCTGAGATTAAGAGCCACAAGGGGATAACATAGAAACCTTTCATCTCGAGAACCAGCGCGGAACTACAGTTTAAATGTTGAATGCCATTTTTCCAAAGCAGGACTAGGAGCCATAACATCAGACTTTTCATCTCAAGTTTAACAGTAACTTGTGAAACATTTTTCAAGCCACTTATCTGATCAGACCTCTAGGTTCTCCAACTGTAAAATAAAATGATACTTGCCTTGGGCTTATGCTGGAAATAATACAGCCGCAAAGCTCTTGGAAACAGCAGACGCTGTTCTTAACTGCCTAAGGCCACAGTCGGGCAGAACTAGCTACCTCAGCCTCAGAGAATGATTCAGATCACTAACACTCCAAGTACTATCAGACCAAGGGATGATCTAAAAAAACAACCAAAGTCTCCATTTGGGAAAGCAAAGATCTAACCATGGGCATCCAGCTCATGCTTCATGTACTCAGAATCAGTCAACAAGGAGGCTAGTTGTTACAGCTCCATCACAGGCGAGTGCTGAGTAATCTGGGTTTAGACCCTTCTCACCCCGAGAGATTTCAAGCCTACCACTCCTGTTTCCATGCAATGTGGCCATACCCAGCAACTCCATGGCAAGGAGATAAACTGAATTCCTGTCCTAGCTCCAGAGACGATTTACACATTTTGCATAAAGATACATAGGGTTGAATACACGAACAGATTAGGAACAGGGACCAAGACTCCCTGTTTATGAGGGAACGCTCTTCTCATTGACCTAAACATCAGGCTTTTTTCTACTTATTCTCTCTCAGTGGCTCCAGGGGTCCCATAGTTCCTTTCTCAGACGCACCATGGGGGATTTTGAAGGGCCGCTTCCAGAGTGGGTTGTGTCCTGGTGGTTATCATACTCTCCCTGGAAAGTGACAGGTGCTTCAAAAGCTCCTAGGTTCAGGTTTATTCAAGTTCCCTGCTCTATAACAGCCTTCCTAGGTGACCTTGGACACATGCCTTTTTGTGTATCCCTGTAAAGGAATAAAAGTACTTCTCCACCTTACAGGAGAGCAACGCACACAGACTGCGAGGTATTCACACAGTGCAGTAACGAGGGCTGTATGTAGCTATGGAAGATCAAGTAAGGAAAAGGAAAGAGAGGCTTCCTAGGAGACTTGGATCATTTAAATCATTGCTAGTATGCTCCCAAACAGAGAATGCTTCTGAATGGAAAATTTGAGGCTTCACGTAACATTAATTTAAACCAATGGGAAGTACAAAAAAAAGCTTCTTCCCCAAACTTCACATCCAATCTTATTAGCAACGTTACAGTTCAGTTCATACACACAAAAATGCTGGCAGATGGTGGAAATCCCAACCTCAACCTGATCTGAAGTCTAGTCTCAGATGGGCCTTGCAGAGCTTCCAAACTGTTGACTACTCTGCAAAGGCAGTGCTTGAGTCACACCTTTCATTCAAAACACCACCTACACTTTTATAACCTTTACCTAGGGCTCTACACCTGCATTTTACCAAGCACTTGCATAGAATAAAACTCAGAAGCATTATTATAGGCAACAGAAATACAACCATTATGAAACCTTATTTTCTAAGAAGTAGCAAGAGCTGAGGCATATTTCAAAGTTCTTGTGTGCTCAGAATTTATAATGTATTACTTTCCATCTTAGCCGAGAAAGCTGATCTTTCAGAAAGCAGATCATACCTTGAAGTAGGTTATATTTTGCCCAGAATGTAAGTAGGATTTATGTTAAAGCAACTTTGGAATCCAGCATTTCTACCTTGCATTCACAGTAAGGAGCAGGACAAAATTTATAACAAGCAGTTCCGCTTGTCTCCAGTAGAGGGTAATGGATCCTCTGATCCCAACCTTTTTTTAAAAGCACACTTCATATTACACAGCTGTTTTTCTTTAAACAGTTGAAGAAATGCCTGAACAACTGACTGCATCCAAGAAAGTCTATCAACAAGAAAAATTCTCTATGTAACCCAAAGAGAGGCAAGAAAAAAGTGTTTAAGTTATTAAAAAAAAAAAAAAAGGAGATTCTCACATAATCATAACCATTACAAGAAAACTTGGCTCCAAACAAATACAATTTCAAAATATACAAAAATACCAACAGTTGAAAACTCAAAACTATGGTTCATTCCACCACCCTAACTTGGCTTAAGAGAACAGCTGTACACTCAAAAGTTAAACCCTTTCCTGAACAATAAAATGACACTATAAACGTATAACACCTCTCAGCCATGGAGTTCAACAACTTTTATGAGCACAAATTTCACATGCCTGTGAAGCCTTGCATGGGACTAGCAGATAGGAAAGCACATATATTTGGATCACAGCCTCTGAAGACATAAAACCAGACAACAGAAAACACTAGGTACATGGATTTAGTTAGAATTTAGGCCAGATGACTCACAATACAGTCAGAGCCAAAGAATATAACACAACTGGAATCTCCCGCTGTTTAGTCCTGTCCTATGACTGCTAGCCCAGACGTTCTCTTGAGATAGTTGATGATAATGCAAATTACAACTGCTCCATGTGGCCAGAAAGGGATTGGGTTGCTCAGGGGATATTGTATCTAGAATTCCTGACATGATTTTTTTTTTAGCACTTGTGGCCATTTCATTGTGCCTCTATGGTCTAGTTTTCAACATACTCAAGCAAGTATGTTGAGGCTTAGAAGGACTAATGGAAAAGACAAGGGCTCTTGCCAGGAAGAGAAAACAGATGCAACAAAAAAAAATTACAAGTTATTCTAAAGCAACACTGAAGGACAAGTTAAGAGACAGAAGAGTCTTTCATGTGACATGCGAGCACTCTTTTCTCTTTACCTTGCTTAATGCTGGTGGCCGTGAGAGATAGCAGTTACATAATAAAGAAGGCATGAGAACAGAGCAGAAGAGAGCAGGAAGGGAAGAAACTGTTCTTACATTCAATTTATGATCTATATACAAAATCTTGAAAAGATTTTCATTGCACTTTTTTCGTCTGATCTATTTGCTTCAAAGCAAAAACTTTGTCTGGTTTTGATTGTTGAAGAGCCAGAGATATGGTCTGGAAGCCCTCATTCTTTTAACTAATACAGTCAGAGTGCTAGTTATACTACAGCAAGATCTGTCCTTAAACTACCTGGTATATGTTAGAATTAAACACAGATGAAATAAAAAGAGAGATTTCGGTTGGTGTGAACATGCACACAAAATTACCCTCCTTTTTTGGTGGGGTCCTCTCTGGGAAACCAGTTCCAATGTCTCACCACCCTCATCGTAAAAAATTTCTTCCTTATATCCAATCTAAATCTACCCTCTTTCAGTTTAAACCCATTGCCCCTTGAGCTGTCACTACAGGCCTTGGTAAAAGTCTTTTTCCAGCTTTCTTATAAGTCCTCTTTATATATATTGAAAGGCCACAATAAGGTCTCCCCGGATCCTTCTCTTCTCCAGGCTGAACAAATCCAACTCTCTCAGCCGTTCTTCAAAGGAGAGGTGTTTCGACCCTCTGACCATTTTCGTGCCCCTCCTCTGGACCCACTCTAACAGGTCCATGTCTTTCTTGTGCTGGGGACCCCAGAACTAGATGCAGTATTCCTGGCAGGATAAAGTAAGTTTTTCTTTTTAAGCTTCTATTTTAAACTGTAAATCAGCCCCTAGTGAAAACATAGGATGGCCATATACCTCCTAGCTACTTTACAGTTTGGCATCTTCAGCGGAGCTCCTCAGTGTAATTCTGCTGTCACACTGAGAAGTGGTTGCAAAGACAACAGACGGGAAGCCTTGTTTGCAACAAGGTCGTCATCGTCTCAGCTCCAGTGTTACTGATTTCAAGGAAGTCACATTCATGCTCATCCAGCTGGGTCATATGATATGGTATTACAGAAGCACCCCCACCCCTCTCCCTAAGATTTTAGTGTGCTCCCATAGATACTTACTTGATGAGACAGGGGATCTGAGGGGTCTGGAAAGCTGGGAGTGTCATGCCAGGAGTCGGTTGTGTTTACTGGGGGATTCACAGTGCAGTGATGAGAGACATGAGCACTGGCCACAATCTGCCCCTGAAGTGCAGCTCCAATCAAGGTCCCAAGCACTTCCATGGTCATTCCTAAAGCAGGAAGCACAAATGTGCATTGAGGATGAGAACGCAATTCCTCCACTGTCTGCAAGCTTGCTCATTTGTCTCACTGAAGAGAAACCTCATCAAACCACTTTCTTTTACAGGGAACAAGCAGAAAAAGCAATACCAAGAACAGCAGAACGGGAAGGTCAGTCATAGAACAGTTTCAAGGAGAGTTTTGTCACCTATTTTGTGACCAGCTTTTAGAAGCCTCCATGGAAGAACCTTTTCTATACAAGCTGCATGATGGATACGGCTGAGATTAAGAGCCACAAGGGGATAACATAGAAACCTTTCATCTCGAGAACCAGCGCGGAACTACAGTTTAAATGTTGAATGCCATTTTTCCAAAGCAGGACTAGGAGCCATAACATCAGACTTTTCATCTCAAGTTTAACAGTAACTTGTGAAACATTTTTCAAGCCACTTATCTGATCAGACCTCTAGGTTCTCCAACTGTAAAATAAAATGATACTTGCCTTGGGCTTATGCTGGAAATAATACAGCCGCAAAGCTCTTGGAAACAGCAGACGCTGTTCTTAACTGCCTAAGGCCACAGTCGGGCAGAACTAGCTACCTCAGCCTCAGAGAATGATTCAGATCACTAACACTCCAAGTACTATCAGACCAAGGGATGATCTAAAAAAACAACCAAAGTCTCCATTTGGGAAAGCAAAGATCTAACCATGGGCATCCAGCTCATGCTTCATGTACTCAGAATCAGTCAACAAGGAGGCTAGTTGTTACAGCTCCATCACAGGCGAGTGCTGAGTAATCTGGGTTTAGACCCTTCTCACCCCGAGAGATTTCAAGCCTACCACTCCTGTTTCCATGCAATGTGGCCATACCCAGCAACTCCATGGCAAGGAGATAAACTGAATTCCTGTCCTAGCTCCAGAGACGATTTACACATTTTGCATAAAGATACATAGGGTTGAATACACGAACAGATTAGGAACAGGGACCAAGACTCCCTGTTTATGAGGGAACGCTCTTCTCATTGACCTAAACATCAGGCTTTTTTCTACTTATTCTCTCTCAGTGGCTCCAGGGGTCCCATAGTTCCTTTCTCAGACGCACCATGGGGGATTTTGAAGGGCCGCTTCCAGAGTGGGTTGTGTCCTGGTGGTTATCATACTCTCCCTGGAAAGTGACAGGTGCTTCAAAAGCTCCTAGGTTCAGGTTTATTCAAGTTCCCTGCTCTATAACAGCCTTCCTAGGTGACCTTGGACACATGCCTTTTTGTGTATCCCTGTAAAGGAATAAAAGTACTTCTCCACCTTACAGGAGAGCAACGCACACAGACTGCGAGGTATTCACACAGTGCAGTAACGAGGGCTGTATGTAGCTATGGAAGATCAAGTAAGGAAAAGGAAAGAGAGGCTTCCTAGGAGACTTGGATCATTTAAATCATTGCTAGTATGCTCCCAAACAGAGAATGCTTCTGAATGGAAAATTTGAGGCTTCACGTAACATTAATTTAAACCAATGGGAAGTACAAAAAAAAGCTTCTTCCCCAAACTTCACATCCAATCTTATTAGCAACGTTACAGTTCAGTTCATACACACAAAAATGCTGGCAGATGGTGGAAATCCCAACCTCAACCTGATCTGAAGTCTAGTCTCAGATGGGCCTTGCAGAGCTTCCAAACTGTTGACTACTCTGCAAAGGCAGTGCTTGAGTCACACCTTTCATTCAAAACACCACCTACACTTTTATAACCTTTACCTAGGGCTCTACACCTGCATTTTACCAAGCACTTGCATAGAATAAAACTCAGAAGCATTATTATAGGCAACAGAAATACAACCATTATGAAACCTTATTTTCTAAGAAGTAGCAAGAGCTGAGGCATATTTCAAAGTTCTTGTGTGCTCAGAATTTATAATGTATTACTTTCCATCTTAGCCGAGAAAGCTGATCTTTCAGAAAGCAGATCATACCTTGAAGTAGGTTATATTTTGCCCAGAATGTAAGTAGGATTTATGTTAAAGCAACTTTGGAATCCAGCATTTCTACCTTGCATTCACAGTAAGGAGCAGGACAAAATTTATAACAAGCAGTTCCGCTTGTCTCCAGTAGAGGGTAATGGATCCTCTGATCCCAACCTTTTTTTAAAAGCACACTTCATATTACACAGCTGTTTTTCTTTAAACAGTTGAAGAAATGCCTGAACAACTGACTGCATCCAAGAAAGTCTATCAACAAGAAAAATTCTCTATGTAACCCAAAGAGAGGCAAGAAAAAAGTGTTTAAGTTATTAAAAAAAAAAAAAAAGGAGATTCTCACATAATCATAACCATTACAAGAAAACTTGGCTCCAAACAAATACAATTTCAAAATATACAAAAATACCAACAGTTGAAAACTCAAAACTATGGTTCATTCCACCACCCTAACTTGGCTTAAGAGAACAGCTGTACACTCAAAAGTTAAACCCTTTCCTGAACAATAAAATGACACTATAAACGTATAACACCTCTCAGCCATGGAGTTCAACAACTTTTATGAGCACAAATTTCACATGCCTGTGAAGCCTTGCATGGGACTAGCAGATAGGAAAGCACATATATTTGGATCACAGCCTCTGAAGACATAAAACCAGACAATAGAAAACACTAGGTACATGGATTTAGTTAGAATTTAGGCCAGATGACTCACAATACAGTCAGAGCCAAAGAATATAACACAACTGGAATCTCCCGCTGTTTAGTCCTGTCCTATGACTGCTAGCCCAGACGTTCTCTTGAGATAGTTGATGATAATGCAAATTACAACTGCTCCATGTGGCCAGAAAGGGATTGGGTTGCTCAGGGGATATTGTATCTAGAATTCCTGACATGATTTTTTTTTTAGCACTTGTGGCCATTTCATTGTGCCTCTATGGTCTAGTTTTCAACATACTCAAGCAAGTATGTTGAGGGTTAGAAGGACTAATGGAAAAGACAAGGGCTCTTGCCAGGAAGAGAAAACAGATGCAACAAAAAAAAATTACAAGTTATTCTAAAGCAACACTGAAGGACAAGTTAAGAGACAGAAGAGTCTTTCATGTGACATGCGAGCACTCTTTTCTCTTTACCTTGCTTAATGCTGGTGGCCGTGAGAGATAGCAGTTACATAATAAAGAAGGCATGAGAACAGAGCAGAAGAGAGCAGGAAGGGAAGAAACTGTTCTTACATTCAATTTATGATCTATATACAAAATCTTGAAAAGATTTTCATTGCACTTTTTTCGTCTGATCTATTTGCTTCAAAGCAAAAACTTTGTCTGGTTTTGATTGTTGAAGAGCCAGAGATATGGTCTGGAAGCCCTCATTCTTTTAACTAATACAGTCAGAGTGCTAGTTATACTACAGCAAGATCTGTCCTTAAACTACCTGGTATATGTTAGAATTAAACACAGATGAAATAAAAAGAGAGATTTCGGTTGGTGTGAACATGCACACAAAATTACCCTCCTTTTTTGGTGGGGTAAACTATCTTGGTTCTATGAGTTCTAGAAATTTTTTTAGAGAAAGCAGCCTCGAGATTTGAATTTATAACACGAACACATAAACCTAAGGAAATCCAAACTAAAAAAAAAAACCACCTCAAAATTACTTTCAGGCTTTCTCTAATTGAATGTTAATGAAGATCAGCACTTTGTTTTTTCCCCTACAAACCACCTTTAAATGAAATCATTATTTCCTATCCTGGCTTGGGTAAGAGCGATTTTTATTGTTCCATCTGGCTAGCAATAAACCGAAAAGAGTTTATAGCTAATCGGACAATGTGAGACAATAAAACATTAATGTCTCCTATTTATCTAGAAAAATGGAAGCATTGACAAGACAAATTATTTTTCATCAGATATTAAAAATCTCATATAAGAGTCCAGTTTAGGGACACAAACCCTTAGGAACTTCCTATAGATAGAGAATGATTTTAAATAAAACTCAGCCCTAATCCACATGAGAAAGCGCAGATCACACTCACGGTATGCTGTTGCAGAATCTCTCTCCTTCTGGTCTGTGCTGAGAAACATGGTGAGGGCAGAATATGGTACTTGGAATAACTATGCAAAGAAAGAACATCGCTTAAGAAATGTCAGGGTAAATGCTTTGATATCCAGGAAAACGGTTTAATGCAACCTTGGAATTCACTTATTTAGAACATTGTATTTTTTAGCACAAAGACCTGTCTTTTCTTTCTGATTTGTAAAGCATATTATAGGAAAATGTATCTTTCATAATACAAATAATAAATAATAAATTACCAAGAGACTTTACCTTAATGCTGTGCTCCTTCAGCTTCCTTGGGAAAACGTCCTTCATAGCTAGGCTATAAAGCATCTAGTTTTCTTTGCACTAGGAGACTATAATGTTCCTAGCTTGAGCTAACTAACAAGAAGCAAAGCCATAATGAAGACAATGTAATTTTCCACTTTATTCAAGCCAGAAGACTGTATAAATCCCCAAAATATTTCAAATATCTGTCTCACTATGTAATTCCAGGAGATAATTGTGAAAACTACTTTGTCTTCAGCACCATTTTGCCACACACTTCTTAATTTGAGTTAAGAATAGGTAGAAATGCCCAATTGCTATGTCCGTGCACTAACTAAAAGGTAGATGAGGAGTGTTGCTTGTTTGTTTTTACAGCACTGTATCTAGCATGCAATTGATACCTTGCTGTAAAATCTTGGTGGAAACAATGCACTGGTAATACTTATCGCAATGCTGGGTAAATGAGCCCCACTTTTACTGCAGTCTCCAGTAGTACTCCATTGATAATAACTATCGAACGTTAAAGGCTTCACCTTTTGGATGGTAACGATGTGAGTGGGACCCTGTCCTCATAGTGTTGAACTAAAGTAAAAATCACTTCTAAAATCTTGGAACAACATACAGGCCAAACTCTCAGACTATTGTGAAGTGGAAGTGGGACATGAACCTGCTTGAACAATCAAGTTCTCTGTGGTGTTTCCACCACCACAGAGATCTGTAGCCAGGCAAATTAAGTCTCGCAATCCACATCCTACTCTGTTCGTACAAAATGCATTTCTGTTCACCTCCATCAGACATGGCAAGTGTATACGTTTTCAAAGCTCTGCCATGGAAAAATCTGTGTTTTTCCTTCAAAAGAGAGGAAAGAAAATTATTTTAAGCCATTATGAATGTCTTCTAGACCATCTTTCTCCAGAGGAAACAGAGGACCTAGGGAAACATTCCAGCTTAACACAGGAATACAGAATTCCCAGGTCCAATAGATCTGTAAACAGGAGAAAAGCCAAAGTCAAACAAGAAATACAAACATTTTAAATGTCTGGGAACCACTTTTTCAAAATGTGATCCAGTGAAATTCAATCAGCTGGGATACACCCTGCCAAATCGCAATGCAGCTGTCTCACTTCCAGTCCTAATCTGCTGTGTGATACTGCTTTGCATGGAACATACCTTGTTTCACCTTGATATTGGCTACAAGGTAAAACAGGGTGATGCAACCCCTACATGTACAGTATGGAACGTGTCAAGGAAGTTCTTTGGGATCCACTGAAATGATGGCTTCTACATAAATATTGCAAATTCTGGGCTGAATTAAAAAATTCATGTGCTCAAACTCTTCTACCCAGGCATAAATCTCATGATGACTACTATCAGTACTATTTCAGCTCTGGTATCCTGACTTTTCATTGCCTTCTAGCCTGAGTCACAACACCCAGAACTACAGCCACAAACCTACTTGGTCTCCTAATCTGCTCCTGAAAATAGAAATTATAAGAAGTTAGATGTCTAACTGGAATTAGGAATCCGAATGTCTCTGTGGATCTATACAAGAATGAGTTGAGTATCTAGGGCACTGCCAATAAAAGCGACTGGAGGGAATCTGTCTGAATTAGCAGGTCATTTGCCAGAGAAAGCATGGGCAGAAACCATCAACCAGCAGAAAGTTTGATAAAAGGACCACTGCCTATCCCTTAAACTCACTAGAAGTTGAAATAAAATGTAAGGTTTTGGTAAATCTCAGTTTACTAAATCTGAATGCATTAACATAGACAGAAAACAAGCAAGTTACTGCTGAGAACATCATGACCTGTAATCTACTTACTGTGGTCAGTGCTTGGAAAAGGCAGTAGAAAGTCAGGTACCATGCAACTCTTCCCGATACAAAAGGAGGCAGGTACCACATAAAAAAATAGGACACTACTGTGAAGGGTGTACATGCCAGCATCCTGCAAAGAAGATTAACACATGTCAACAGTCTCAACATAATGATAGCAAAGCACATTAAATTTTCCTGCTAATAATCAATATAATGCAATTTATTTTATGTGCAGTTTTTCTAACTACAATAATGCCATGTTTTTAAGTATTAAACGTTAGCATGCATTAAATACACAGATTAATAGAAAATGTATACAAGTACTTCCATAAAATGGAAAAAGCCCAGCAAATCTGAAGGAAAAGAGCTATACTTTAGTTAATATCCCACTCAGAACAGACACAATTTCCTTGCACATGCACTGTAACAGCATACCTATATTGCCATCCCTTAGTACATGTCGCAGACTACATATTTATTAGAAAGAACATGAAAACTAAGCTCTAGTGTCACATGTCTTCATACTTCAGCAATTTTTACATGAGCCTACTTATTACCAAGGATTCCCTCTTCCAATTTTAATGCCTTCAGTTTTCCCCTCAGTAGCCTCCTCATTGCTACTTCAAGCACTACAAATACGTTGATACACTTAAAAATGCTGAAAACAGCATAAAAGATAATGGACAGCCCACTGCAAAAGTTCCTACAGACTGTATCTGCTTGGGTATATAATAATTTGCTCCATTTAACTCAACAGCAAAACTCCTAATCACTTCAAACACAAAAGGATCATCTTCTGATGAGGAAGGTGGCTTAAAAAAAAAAGAACCACAGAAACTTAAATTCCAGACATTGCCATTAACCAGCAATTAATTATATTAGTCTAAAAATTATTTCAGGCAAACAACCCTTGTCAAACTCCATGATACGGAAGAAGTGGTCAGATGCTCTTCTTTCCTAAAAGTCTGAGCTGCAGCAGCATCAGGGCTCTCCTGTATTCTTGTAAATCAGACATTAAACAATGTAATTAGATGACCAAGATCCCAACAAAAAATGTCCAAACACGTAAAAGAGAAAACAGATTAATCCCTTCACAACAGCACTACTGACATTGGGGGTCAGCTGATTATTTTGCAATCGTGAACTGAAAACCTGGAATACAAAAGAGTAATGTGGGTAAATAGTTTAGGAAAACAATGGCTTTCCCACACTGCTCTTTGGGATGGACAGCATCACTGGGAGCTGAGCATGTACAAGGAAAGTGCCAGGTTCTGGTATTCTCTGTCCCTCCAGTCCCCAGGCCACAGTTCATCCACAGCTGGTCAGCAATGGAAAACACAAATAAGGGTAAAATCCTAACACATCTCAGGGAATCTACCTTCCTGTCCAAAAGCGTGAGCTCTTCCAGACCGGTGTCCAGACTGAGTCACCACAGTAAAATATCTTCATAGTCAACTTTTCATGCAACTTTTCAGCAATAAACCTCTTAGTATTCTTCCCCTCTTCCATCCTCTTTCCACATTTTCCTTTCCTCATTAATGTCAGTGAGTTTTCAGAGCCTTGCTGAAGTTGCTGAATATCTGATTGTCTACTATTACATCCTTTGACAAAATATTTGGCTGGGTTTGTGTATTTCAAGTCAATGTCTGCTTGTGCCTTTTAAACACATTACATAAAAGAGATCAATAGTGATTGATGACTTCTTATTATATTGAGTACAGTATTAAGCTACAGTTAAACGTTCACCTTCTTTATTAATGTTCTTGCTTTGCTGGCAAGCTTTTCTGACTGAGCCAATTCCATTGCTTCACTCTAGATACTTAGGAAGTCAGAATAATTTCAAAATACCATCAAGCTATTGGAAGACCCATTTTTTGCTTTGTATAAATATGGTCTGACCTCCAAAGCGTAGGAGCAACATTCCCATGAAAAAAATTACCATTACCAAAAAAACAGACAAAATCCTTCTGGAAAGAAAGCAGCTGTTCGATGAACGCATATTAAAGGCCAGGTTAGATAAGCACTTTTCCTGTAAGAAGTGCAAGTTGTACAGTAGTTGGTTTACAGTGCAAAGGGCTGATAAGTTCCTGCTTGTGCTAGAATGGGAATTACTCTAACATCGATTTAACACTAACAGTAAACACATGTATTTGCAGTATTTTCAGAGAATGAAAAAAAAAAAGGCATCAAAATACATCTAATGGCATTTGTATAAAAATGTCATTATTTTCTTTTTGAATAACTTTGTTCCTCGGTTAATTCAGTGCTCATTAAAAAGCACTCCATTTACCTGGCCACAAACCAAATCCTGGAAAGAGAAAGAGCAGCAAGCTCCTCTTTTCCCATGGGGCTCTTGACAAAAAGCTTAACTTTGACCTGAAGGCCCTGTTCCTGCTGGGGCCAAGAGCAGCTGATCTCAGCCTTCTTCCAACATGTACTTGCCTTCTATTCTTTGTCAGATATAAGCTGGCCATGGACAAGTTTCTGTAGCCCTAAAACCACACGACAGCAAGAGAACCACCAGCTAAAAACTGGGCTTATCTTCCATGAAAATTCAACTTCTTTGCTCAGGATAACACATTTACTCTTAGATTTTTGTTGTGAATCAGGTTTGGGGGTTGTATTAATTAAAAATTCACAATTAATTCAAAATATCTTACAATACATCCTTATAATGCATGAGATAGATAGATAGATAGAGTGCTCTATCATCACTGCTCTATCTATCACGGAGTGATAGAGCACTCCCTATTTCACAAACTACTCGGTCTCCGCAGTGATGAAAGACTCCCTATTTCACAAACTACTCGGTCTCCCCTTGACTTCCAAAATATAAAAAACCCAGCAAATAAATGCCCTATAGGCATAGACATGCTCGGGTTCCTCTAACATGGACCAATCCTTTCCAATTTTCTTGCTTCACACCTGTCAATCTCCTTCCTATATGAGTAACATTCATTCTTCTAACCTCTCCTTATAGCACACGGACAGCACACGTACAAGTGTACTAGCTAGAGTGCATACAAGGGATAAGTATGTCATAGCGAAACATCACGCTGTCCCTTTAGAAATGCTGATCAAAATCTTACAGCATCTCATTCACTATAAAAGTCATGGTGATTTTTTTAATTAAGTATTTTGATTACGGGGATGTAAGAGAGGCGGGACCAGAATGACTGCTGTAAGGAAGAATGTAACAGGGTGTCAGGGCAGTGCTGGTTGCTGAGCCCTTCAATGCCACGGTGTCACATCTGTTCCACATATATGCTCACATCTTTTACTGAATTGAAAGGTCTAGAGAATTAAAGGTAACAGAACTCCTGGAAGGCTGATGTGAGAAGTGAAAGCACACTAGGACACAAGCAGAAACAAGTTCCAATTTTGTGGAGGAGTGAAGCCAAACTAAAGGAATCTAGACAAAGATGAAAATTCAACCACAGATTCAAGAAAGTTTTAGATCTGAGCTTCCAGTTTTGTTAACAACACAGTGTCTTGGCTTTATTTGTTTGTGTCTCCAGTGGTAAAAAATCTCTTCTATGTTTTCATGGGTGAACAAGTTAAAGGGAAATAGATGACATGACAATTTTTCTTTTTGATTTTATGTATGTACAATGAATACAATCACTGTTGTCTGGGAAACAGGCAAAGAAAAATGAGTCTAATTCAATGAGGTGACTGCATGATCACAACACACACAATATTCATATATATATATATGTAAATATATGTACACATTTATGCTTACCAAGGCATGAGCCGGCCAATTTTTGTCCATCTACTTTTACTAATAAAAAAGCCAGCAACAGGATCAGTAACTGCACCTGAGGCTTTGCCAATGAACAGCACCAAAGAGGCATGAAACGGAGTAATCTGAAAGTACAGACAGAATACTGTAAACAAGAACCATTGTTTCACTATACAATGAAACAGCATAAAGCAACTTTCCAGAAAAAAACCTCAGTGTTTTAAAGAATAATGATAGTTCATTTACAAAACATGTCTGCTGCTGTCATAGAAATTACTATTGGCTACCCGTAGCAAACAAATGAGTCATTGAGACAGGCACCATGCAAGAAGGGATTAGAGGGGAAAAGTGCAAGGAAGGAGAGATTATGAATGTGTTTAGAACTAGGAAAATGAGTCAGGTAGTCAAATAGTACGCTAAAGTCCTTGTTTTAGTCATAAAACCTGACAGAGTCCCTCTGTAATTATCCCCTCACTTTGTTCCTCACACAGCCCCATTTCCCCATATCTTTATCTTGACCTGATCTAGAAAAAAGTAGAGGGAGCTGTTTACATGCATTCATGTTTTTTCATCTCCTGAGATTACCAACAAGGCTGCCAACTGGTGGCATGTGGCTGTGGAAGAGGTTGCAGCACAGCAGACTTTATCCACTCAGAACTAAACTGTGACAACTGAACTGCATAAGGCACATCTGTTCAAATCGACGTTGCTAGCACATGTCCAACAAATCTCACTTGAAAAATGTTCACGGATTACATAAGAATAAAATGGCCAAGTAGAAGAACCTTTGAAGTTAACCCAGGAGGACCATACTTAAGTGCCTGTATAGAAATACAGTTTATCCCAGGCAACGTAGTTATTTTTCACATATATCTGTAGAGAGCTTAGGAATTCATATCACACAATAGTTAAAAAAGGCGGGGGGAGAAAGAGAGAGCAAGGGCCTGCTGAAACAGCCTACAGGGCTTAAACAGTGACAGCAGACAAAACCCCTTCACCTATATGCTTCTTCATGCTGTCAGTGCTCCAACCTAGTGGGAAGCCTGGCGAATGCAGCTGATACAACACCAAGCTTGAGCTAGCATCCCCTGCTTTTCTGCAGAGCTTATTGCCTCCTAGGCAGCATCACACGGCTTCCAGCTGGCGCAGGTCCCCTGCCTGCAGAATTTGCTGTAGGTATTCCCTCAGAAGTGAAAGAAAGAAGCAGTAATCTCTGAGATGTCCTGGATGACCTTTGTAAAAGGCGGATGCTATGCACTTTTGTAATCACGCCTGTTAAATTTTAGCCCAAATTAGGTGAAATTGCAGGGGCAGCCAATCTTCCTGACAGCACCAGCTCCAAGACACATACTCCACCCTAGAAAGCTCATGAACAGGGAAGGATTGGGAATGGTAGTCTCCAACAGGTAATGACAGTGGCTCTCCAAGCACCCTATTGCTGCACTGTAGGACAAGGCTGTGATGAGCATTGGGCTGTGTCCCACAGCAGTTTGCTGATGTTCACCTCATCCGCCTTCGCTGACTTGTACCCTCCCACAGCTAGGGTGGCAAGAAACCCACCAACCCTGAGGAACACTTGCCTTTGGGGCTGCACTGGAACTGCTCACAAGTCACTACTGCTTCTCAAGAGACAGGTCAGCCAAAACAAGAACAAAACACCAGTCAGAAAGATACAGGTGTTGAAATACCGCAGCGATGAGGGATGCGGAGACAGAAAGCTTCAAATTAGGTGGGTTTTGCATTGCTATTTTGTTCAGATAATGTGAATAGACAGAAAGGGAGTGGATACTACATAAACAGAAGTGGAAGAAAGCCTGGAGGAAAATTAAAACCTCTCACGTTAGGAGTGGAGTCTGCATAGTCACCCTATCTTCATTATTGGTAGGGGCTTATACATCCCTTGGCTGCATTTTCTTAGCCCCTAAATCTAGACAGTGTCTGTCAGCACCAATGCCAGAAACTTCTCAGTGTTAATAAAATACAAGATAAAATATGCTAAATTCATCCATCTCAAAAGGAATAAAGACCAGGATCCTATTATCAGAGGTTTTGGTGTTTTCTAGTAATTTGTGGTGGTTTGGAGTTACATTTATATGTCTGCAGTTTATACAGGTAATTTAGGTGGAACGTGGAATTCAAAAGGAAAAACTGTAAGCTACAGAAAGTGAATACAAATGTAATTTTCTTAGGAAGGATCCAGATTATGTATGAAAGATTACACCTAGTGAGTTTCCCAATCTCTCAAAGAGTTCTGCCCTCTAAGTGGGCAAGAATTAAATCCAGGTAGCGACTATAAAATTACATGCTCTCCCTGAAAATGTGTGGAAAAAACCATGGGATTTCAGAGCTGTTTATCAGGCCTTGAAATAAGTCCTGTCCCTGCAGGATTACTTCAGAGAACAAACTAAACCATCAAGGAACAAATAATTAAGCCCCTTAATGAAGTAGTAAGTGTGTCATTACAAACATTAAGCAAAATTATTGGGTTTCAGTAGGAGCTTGTTAACAAAATAATCATTATTATGTCATTTATTTAGGTGGTGCCCAAAGGTGCAGGAATGGGACCCCAGCTTTCTGGACATTGTACACAAACAGATAAAGAAATAAACAGTCCCTAGCTTCCAGAATTTTCAATTTCTGTGATAAGTGGAGGGTGGGGAAATTGCCATATTTATAAGCACCCTGGGAAAATTGTATTAGTGTCTTTCTCATTTAGTTCATGCTTCATCATCTTCAATGGCTTGTATTGCCATCCTTGATGTAAGCGTGAAACAACTGTAGTCAGAGCTGCATCCACCTCCCTGCTGCATCTCCAAGTTACCTGTTCCACCTCCAACTCCTCAGACTCCACACCATCCACTTGCCATCTTTGACACTGCTGGGCCCCTTTTCTAGATCTTGTGACTTTGACCTCAACAAGACATTCAAGATCTCAGTTTTACATGCCAGTCTTACTGTGTTGCCAATTTTATCAAGTGAGTCACACGTCAGCTTCTGATATCAGGCTTTTATAGGAGAACCATAAACCAAATCTTTTGGACACCTCCACTCCCCCAGTCACGATATCCTGCCTTTCTACATCTTAAACAGCAAGTGGATAACGATACCTGATCCAGAACCTCCTGTTCTTTCCAGCAAATAAAAACAGTCATCAGGGCTGAAAGCCACCCATGTAGTTTCAGCTACAGCTGTTCTCACAGTCCCTGCAATTTGGCCTCATCTCCCTAAAATCCTTTTTGCTATGCTGTAATACTTTATCTGTCCCACCTAGTTACCATGCAGACATACAAGACAATCCAAAACAGTAAAAAATGCTTATGGATTGATTTTCTTTGTTTCTCTGCTGTCCTGAAATCTAGCTGGAGCAGCTGAAAGTCAGATGAATGGGATGACTCCTACTGCTTTGTTTTACCAGGTCTGCTTCTGCACCAGAAAGCCACAGACTGGAAGCAAAGAACCTTCAGGAAGGATAACTCAGCTTTCTTTGCAAGGAAATTGTCCTAGACAAACCAAATAAAATTTATGTGAAATTGTGTTGACTACTGGATGCAACTGCAGTGATTTTTAACTAAACCAAATGAACAAAACTTCACAACCTCAACACGGTGCTATTAATATTTCAGATGTCTCATATCTTACACTCTCTGACTCTTGACACGGAGAACTGCTTCTTCTTGTGTCTGCAAGTGTGTGAACTCTACAGTGCCTAAAGCTCTACTAATGATCGCAAACTAAAAGCAAACAATGGCCACTTCAAGACAGAAAGGAAACTAGTGAAAAAAGAAAAAAAAAATTTCTAGACAAGTTTATGCAGTTTCCAGGATGCTGAACAGCTAGAGGCAATGATAACAAGACAATTTAAAAGCTTTATTAGCTAATTCACCTTTTATCATTCCAGGGACATTGTTGACAACATCAGAGTTGAGGTAAGTCTACAATCTGTAAAGGTTTCTTGTGCTACTTACATGGGCTATATCTAGCAGGTAGATCTGTAGGAAGAAAGCAGCAGCGCTCCCTGCCACTTGATTTGGGGCACCTCCTATTGCATAGCATAATTTGCCGCAAATCGAGAGCCTGTATTCCTGTTCAAGATGAAGCACAACAAATGATGAGAAAAACAAGGTACACAAGTTACAAGCTATGGAAGTCATAAAGTTAAACCCTAAAGTTAACACCAAATTCAGGTATTCGCTTCACAGGTATTCCACTAATAAATCCATATGCCCTCAACCCCTATTATCAGCAGGCATTTGGATGCTCATTGCTTTGGTTTTTAATGGTTTTGTTCCTTAATTCGGCCCCTAAAAACAGATTACAGTGGGAATCTAGGCTTACCTACCTGCTTCTCGCAAGCTATTGAAAAGGAACAAGTCTACAAACAAGCAAGAAGCAGCAAAGAAGTGCCCACTATTTTCTGAGCTTAGTTTTGTCTTTGAATGTTTAATTCAGATTTTTTTTAAATGTTGAAACCTTTTTTACTTTTTTAAAAAGAATAATTTCTTATATTAATCTTTCAGACCATAATAATTGATATACACTCTCATACCATAGTGATTAGACAACATTCATAGAAAGAAAGTTCCACAGTCAAATGCAGACCGAATAGATCCCAAACATTTGTGCTCCGTTCCTTCCTTCCTTTGTCACAAAATGCTGCTGTGACCCTGGCAAAGTCACCTGACTTTGTACATCTTCCTTTTGACTTGACTTTTCTCTCTCTTTTGTGGAAGTTGGCATAACAGGGAAAGTGATTGGGGGGCCCAAGTTGTCTTTAGGAAGGACTCTAAGTCACTCTAGGCACATTTAAAAAAATTTTGCAAAACTGTGCTCTCTCATTTGCCTTTTGATGCTTGAAAAGTACCGTAAGCATCCAAGAATATTCTCTAATAGAATTGCCAAATAAGAGTAAGATAAAACCTGAAAATAAGGTTTCATAACAGTAATTAAAAGAAAAAAAATGCACAGTCTAACAGAAATTCTAATGAAGAACACTGTGTTTTCTAATAGAAGAAGTTCCAGAATACTGGAAAGCATTTAAAAAAAAATCATAAAACTTAATTTCATGCCATAAAATTCAAAATACAGGAAGAAAATGACTCTTCATTAATCTTGTATTCCTTTCAAAGGGACAATGTATGCAACCCAAATTTAGACTTTTAGGCTTTCAATCCCTCTTTAAAGATTGCTGTCAGCAGGAACCAGGAAACATGAAGAGGAGCAGCAATATTAATCCTGGGTCTGCCCCCTCTCTGAACTGACTACACAAGCCCTTAATTCTTACATTACATCAGGATAAAAATAGAGATATGGTAATGAGATCCACCACAATGATAATATTCTGATACGTTACCTAATTTCCAAACATTTTTAAATTTACTAAGTACCATCATCTTTACTACCTAACAGAGTTTTGATAAGTTTTAGACTTCCAGACAGAGCCTTTCATCATCTAATCATTTTCCTTTGAACTGTTTTATCTGAGTGGGTGTGAACAAGCAAGCATGAGTATCAGGACTCTTTCCTTTTTGTGTTTTCACAGAGAAAGATGGGGTGGCATCCCGTCACTACGCCCAAGTAAAGTGGACAGTGTCAGGGCACGAGCTGCAGAATGGTATCGCCACAGCAGGCCTCATTTGTACTCCATATTGGCAATTTTCTTCATTCCAGGAAAAAAAAAAAAGTGGTAAACAGTCACAAGACAGACTTCATCAGAACAATATCCTATTTAATTTGATAAGAGATTTTAAACACAGACTATATACATATTTGCTGTACAAAGTAACTCTCCATTTTTCATACATAAGTCCTATTAAATGTGAGCTTTACTAGACTTGTGGGGTCTATAGAATCTTGTTCACTTGACTCACAACACGGTCCTCGTGAGCTTTGCTCCAGGGGCTGTATACTTTTAAACTTTATCACACTGTTTTATTTTTTAATCATTCCCTTCTCCATCCTCCTAGAAATTAAGTTACTTTAAATGTTTATTTTCCTTTGATGCCTTCCCTTCTGATCTCCAAGCATTGGCAAGATGACTTCCAGCTGAAATCAAGAGACATAAACCACTGCTACGTAAATCCTGTATCACGTTCCACCCCCAAAACAAGCTGAGAAAAACTTTTAGATCCATAATGCTGTTTTCCCACTTATTTTCCCTAGTAACTGTCACAGAATCACAGAATGATTTGGGTTGGAAGGGAACCTTCAAAGACCATCTAGTCCAACCCCAATGCCCGTGGGCAGGGACATCTTCCCCTACAACAGGTCGCTCAAAGTCCCGTCCAACCTGGCCTTGAACACTTCCAGGGATGGGGCATCCACCACCTCTCTGGGCAACCTGTGCCAGTGTTTCACCACCCTCAGCGTAAAAAATTTCTTCTTTATGTCCCTCTTTCATTTTAAAACCATTGCCCCTTGTCCTTTCGATAGCTAAAGCCATGATAACACAGAAAAAGTAAATGCCTCTAAATAACGTACATGATTCCAAAATATTTTTATAACACAAAGAATGTTAAGTTCTTCAGAATTAGTCTAATTAAAGTTGTGGTACAGGAAACAGTCAACCAAGATCTAAACTTACAGGCTGTAGGCAGTACTCCTGTCTTTACATCAGTTTCATGATTAGGAAATTTACAATCTTAATATATATTTTTTTTTTTTTTTTTAAAAAGCCCCACTGGGGTTTCCCCACACTCCCGGGATGCTGCTCAACTACTTTCTGAATGACACTCCCAGACCACCTTGAAGCAAAGGTAATACTTTAGTCACAGCAGTAGTTAAGTTTTCACTAAATTTTGTGTATGAATGTTATTTTCAGAATTAAACAAGCTGTCAGATAGACATAGCATACAGAGGTGTCCTGTTCAGTCAGCCACAGAAATGCAGGGAATCAGCAGTTCATGAACTTCCTGAAATGGAGGTTACATCCTGATCACTGTTCAATACCTGTTTTCCTTTTATTTTGCCTAATTACTTTTGGAACTCATTCGTACGTTAAGCCATAATACACCACAGCAGTTCTACACGAGTGACACGTAGCATGAAAGGAAATGCCACTGCGCTCATTGCAGATCTGCTGTCTGGTAATTTCATTGAGTGCCCTTGAGTTTCCATCTGCTGAGAAATAATCATTCGGACTCTACATTCTGGTGTCTCTTTCCAAAAGATGCAGCCTATAATCTATTTTGACTCTCCGTATTGAAGTTTTACGGTAATCACTACGTTTTCTACCTCACTATCCTCTGAGACAGTGGTAAAAATGAAGGTAGGTGTTTGAACACCAGTAAAGCTGAAACATTTCCTTCTTTCTAACTTCCTGGGCTTACAGTTAGGAGTAGAAAAGATACACGTGGCAGCTTTCCATTACAGGATCTAGAGGAGTAAGTCCCCCAGCCTTGGTTGGGTTTACATGATATTGTTAATAAATGACACCAGAAACTGTCTTGAGAAGGATACCATCGCACTTGTGCAGAGCAGTGTGACCAATGGCAGTGCATTAGCTATGAGCAACTAACAGGGTTTTTCTCTTAAGGCTGAATTTCCCTGCTGCATTGCTTCCTCAAGCAACAGAAATTGCTTGATTTCTGTGAAATCCCGTAAAACCTCTTTCACCTGTGTAAGTTTGTCAGTAAGCTTAAAGTACTCCAAAAATCCACTAGAGATCTGAATGTGTAGGCTGTGGTAAAACAAGGAACAAAATACAAAAGTCTTTACAATGAAAATTTTGTTTCGAGACCGCTGTGGTGTAGTTGAATATCAAGATCAAATTGCTTCTACAAGCTTTAGAAGAAACGAGGATGGGGTGGGAGGTAAGAGAAAGGAAGGTCAAATGAAGTTATCTTTTTTGTTCTCAGATTAACTTGGCAATTTTGTACTTATACATGCCCCCATCATATCAAAGTTAATAGTGTTTGAAGGTAAACCAAGAAAGCATAATAGCTGAGAGATTTGATTTTGCTCCTTAAATGGAAGAATAAGGTTAAATATTGTTATAGAAAATTAATGCATCTCATACAGTGTAGTTCCTTTATTTCTAATTCTCTTGTAAGTTAAAACCATACTTTCATTGCTTGTAAATTTTGCCTTCCCCAACAGAACAGAAATTGAATACAATGTTTATAACAGATCATCTTATTTCTAAAAGAAAGTATTTAAGCACATTGAAAACAACTCTTTGCAACTGTGTGAAGATACTGCATGAACATGATGGGTATAGGGAGCAGCCACATTTTGTCCTAAGCTATTCTTTATCAGTAGAGTCCAGAACTGAACCAACAAGTAATTAAAAAGCAGTGAGAAGAGGGCGCAAAACCTGTGACTCAAAGATAAACACTAGTCTAGGCTTATCTGAGAAACAATGAAAATGTAACTAATGAGGAATAGCTTTTGAGTCAGCTTTTCTCTCAGCCTAGAATTAATACTGGTAATGTTTCTGTTCTGAGCGACCATACAACTGCCTCTTAAAAAGCATGAGTGTGATAGTCACAGGTGGCATCCCAGGTCCCTCATACTGAGTATCTTGAGGACTGTTTTCAGGTTTCTTAGTGACATCAGCCCACCCCTGAGTGGAAGAAATAACAGGAGCAGGACTTGGGTGCAGACACCTAGAAAGGGCATACAAACAAGGCAGGATACAGCGGTGCTTTCCCAGGATATTCTTCCAGCTGCCAGCAACGTAGCACTGAGGGGCTCTGTGAGCCAAAGACGGTGTATCTCTGTTTAAAATATTTAGATTTCTCCCATGTATTCACCCAGATGCTTTCTGAACACAAAAATTCAAGCCAGAACAGCACGTGCCCACAGTCCGATGAGCTCCATGGCTTGAACACCCTCCACCACATTGTGAAAGGTTACCTCGGCCCCTCTGTTTTGAAGCTGCCCCTTCCCAGTTTTAGCAGATGTCCCCTCAAAAGCCACGGAGCGAGGGGGGTCCTCACTCACCTCTGACCTGCCTCTCCACTCCTATCTTGGGATGCACTGAGTCTAAAGAGGAAGCAGTTAGATACTCTCACAAGCAACACTCATCTGGAAGTTAGGAGTTGATGAGGCTTCCTGAGGAGAGTGACCCCCCCCCCCCCCACACACCTCTCTCCTGCCACCGATACCCCATCTGCCTTGATCGGAGAGAGAGCCCCAGAGGGAAGAGAGAGTGGAAAGCGAATGGACCTTTTTCCTGCTGCTGAAGTGGACAGTAAATATTGTATAGTGCACTCGAGGGAAAATATCAGTTACACGGAGCTTCTTGGTGAAAGAGATGGGGGTGGTGGTAAGGATTTAAGAGCTATTTCAGGTACCTCGCTGAGATAGGCTGCGCCGCAGAAGAAGCACCACACAAAACACGGCAGCAGCAAGTTCAGGCCCGCCCCCCTTACCCGTAACCTACCGGCAATGAAAAAAGAAAAAACGCGCGCCGCAGCAGGAGGGCGCGGGCGGGACCGCTCCGCACCCCCGGACCCCAACCCCGCTCTAACCCCGGGACTGTGGCCGAGGGGGTCTTCAAGCCCCACGACGGCCGCCTTTCCCCCTCCCCAGCCCCTTACCTCCTCCTCCGCCGGGCGCTCCGGGGTGTCCTTTGCAGCCCCCGCCATGGTGAAGCGGACAGCGCACCCCCGTCCAACACCTGCGTGCCCGGGGCGGGGCGGCGGAGGGAAGGAGAGGGAGAGCGTGTGGCGTCCTCCCCACCCTCACGCAGGGTCCTGGAGGGGCAAAGGCGCTATCGCTGCCCTCCAGGCTCGGGAGAGAAGCCCTCTCCCCGCCTCGTGCGAGGGCTGCATAGCCGAGTCCGCCGAGCCCCCTACGGGCGGCAGGAACACCCCCTCAACCCTTCGTCCCTCCATGCCACTTCCCCTGTGGAGAGGAGCGGGGCAGTTCCCGGCGGCGAGAGCAGCAACGCTGCCCTCGCTCTTTCCTGTGGGCACTGCCGCGGGAGCCGCCCGTGAGGAGGTAAAACCCAGGCTTTATTGTACTGGAAGCCTGCTAGCCGGCCTGAGCGTCCAAAGGCCGCCCGAGCGCCCGCCCTGCCGGTCCCCTCAGAGGTGCTGCTGCTCCCGCCTCGCCCCGCAGTGAAGTGCTTAATGATCGGGTGTAAGGCGGTGAAGGCTTCTGGGGCTGTTTGCACCCGAAGTCTAAAAATACCAGCTCTATCCTTTTGAAGACATGCACTGTTTTCTGATTTATACGAATTTATAACCACGCCAGCCAGCAACGCTATCTTCTGTCAACTGGACATGAGATCACACAAAAACCGCACTTGACCCAGGAAGCACGCTGCGGAAAGAGCTGCTGCCCTCAAAGGCCCTGGAGCTGACACCATTATTTAGGCAGTACAAGTTCACCACCACCATTCTGCCCACAGGAAAATGGTCTTGCAAGCATGCTCCGCACCAGAGAAAAAAAAAAAAGAAATTGCATTTTGAAGTATGAATTCTTTCAACAGTGAGAGTGCCCTGAGAGAAGAGGGTTTAAACAAACCCAGAAGCACATGAGGACTCAGTGATCTGCTCATCTTGGGAAGATGATGACTAATCTATACACATAGGGCTTCCTGGCTCGACTGATTCAAAGAGCTCTCCTATCGGCAGCGTCACTTGGTGGGTATTGGACAGCCACTGCAAACTATGCCATGAAGTAGATATGCAAATCCTGCACATCATTTGACAAGTGTAATTATAGCAAATTTGCAAAATTCTGAAAGAACGAGGCATTAATTTTTTTTTTTTTTTTTTAAAAACAGACCTCTTAAAAAACAGACCTTCAACGCAAAACTGAAATTGTGGCCTTAACAGGCCTTGTTGAAAACTCTCTGAAACTTTTAGGCTCCAAGGCGTCCCTAAAGGCTGAGTCCAGATGGGCTTCAAAATGGAGGTGGACTGCTCAGTCCCTTAGCCCCAGTCTGTAATTTGTTCTAAAGTACCAAGCTAGATACAAGGTATGCATGTAACATTCAAATTAAACATTTAGGTTCTTCGTTTTCTCTTCACACAATGTCCTCCTAACACGATAAATCTGTTACCTGTGTTTGCATGTTTCTTCACGAAGGAAAAAACAACAGAAAACATTTCCTTTCTTTGTTCTTTTCTAGCCTATTTCAATTTTGCTGTAAATTATGTTAATGCACAGGCTTTACTCAAAACAGTGAACGCTTGTGAAGAAACAATGAATAACTGATAGTATTTGTGTTTCACAAACTCAAGCATTGATCAAGCTAGTTTTACTGTTGTTTGATCAATGCACAATAGCCATCTACAGCGCTGAGCAAGAGATTAGGCTGTCCAGACACTACAGGTAGCTAATCAGTCTTTACAAATTGACCGAAACCAATTAGATTTAGGATAGCCCTGTATTCATTCCAAAGATTTTCTCCAAATTAGGAAATAAGTTAAACAATCACAGTTCGTTGCCTTTTTTTAAAGGCACTTTCTAGTCTAACACGGGATTAGTGCAGTCAGCATCACTCTTGACTTTTTAAAGATTTGCTCGCATTTTGTAATTAAGATCATGACACTTTCAAACTGCAAATACACACTCCAGTACACCAAAGTTGTAGCCAGAAACAGTTGATTTCAGTAAAGCACAATATATAGCCAGACAGAATCAAGCTATCCAGTCTCTTAAAATACTGGTAGCAGACATGAACCAATGTTGAAATACTAAATACTTACTGTTGCTTTCCAAAACCATGATCTTTTGACAACAAGCAAAACGGATTTACCTACTTCAAAATTTGACACACACCCCCTTCAATTTCAATCAGTCTTACACTAATTTCTTTGAATGCAGGATTCTTTGAATATTGCAAATGCAGGAATAGTATACTGCTACTTTGACATTTCATGCACCTTTTAGGTAAGAACAACTGAGCTTACAATCAAGCATGTGTGGTTTTCTAATACTTAGTTTTACATTAAGACAAACTCAAAAGCACTGATTAATGAAATTCACTGTTCAGGAAGCTCTGCAAACTGAGGGTTGGATCTGTGTCTGTAGGTGACTTGTCTCTTCAATTTTACTAATGGATTTGTCTGCACGTTTCTTCCTACTACTAGAGAGCTGGTAGGCTTTTCATATAGTAGAGGAGTCAGTGCAAGAGCAAAGAAAATTTAGTTGTATTACTTGCTATGGAAACCTGAATTACACAGTAGCACATCAAGTTTATAGCACTGAAAGCAGTTAACTGCAAATTCAGAGATTTGCCTTCTGAATACACTGAATAGATATTTGTGCAGTTGACTTTCATTTCACTGCCCTCAAACATACCAGGAGAGATGCTGAAGCAAAACAGTTTTACATCCCTGGGAATGAAGTAAGCACATCCCTAGTTTGAAGTAACACGACTTTTAGATAGAATTCAAGTCACTCCAATTAAGTCATTTTCTATTTAGAACAAAACCAGGAAATCCCAAACCCATCTTTCATTTAACCATGCAAAAGAAGTACAACCCCAACAATCATCCATTTGCGTAGGTAGCACAAACTAGTCAGCACTCATTGAAGGCCCCAGGATAAGTCTTACCTAGAGACTCTAGTTCCGTTCACAAACCCACATGCTACTTAGCAAACACAGTACAAAATATTTAGTCTTTATGTTGATGTCTCCCTTAGCAAAACATGGAATAGTTGAATAGCAAAATAAAAGGTTTAGATGGAAATGGGGCAGAGGGGGAAAGAAACCTCAGTTTTCAAATAAGGATTTTCAACATCTTTGAAACTTGGCCACATGCCATCAGCTGGCCAGTTCAAGAGAGGCAGATATATAGTACAAAAACAACTGTGTCCCTCTAAGTCACTATTCCTGTACGGTAATCTCCAGAAAAGCTGAAGTTTGTGTGTGACAAGGCTAAAAGTGGATCGCTATCCTAATGAGCTAGGTAGTTTAACGTCACCCTAACTGTAAGACACCCGTAGCAGCACAAGAGAGGCAGAAACCACTTCAACCATTGGTAATAACAATTCCTTCAGAGCTTATCTTGAGGCACTTCATATGCAGTATGCACCAGACTACCTCATTTCTATCTTCTCACACATGCACCTACCACCATGTGAAGACTTGATAGAACATTACACTGCAGATCTTGTAATAAGTTAAATCCTGAAGATACTGATACTGAAGATTTTCAAGTTAGTTAAAAGTTCAAACGTGAGCTTCCCTGCAGCATCTGTTGCCTAAAAATTACTGTGAGAAGAATGCAAACTGCAGCAGCTTACACCGAAATGTAAGTGAAACTAATCAGTTCAGTTTCACTTTAGTCCAAAGTGCAAAAATAAATACTATCTTTCCTTAAAAGGTGCTATCAGTAGTAATTAAGTCTCAGAGAACTGTTCCGCCTAAATACACTCATTAAAGAACTGAGAAGCTTTCTACCTAAGGAAATTCTAAGGATGACCTGTTGTACAGTTACCTCTGCTACGTTATATAGCCAGGCTCTGACCACCAAATTTAGTTGAAAATACTTCTATTATAGCAGATAGCACAGCACACATTTTGCTCTCTAAGAGCACAGTATGTGAGGATGAGAGTGCATCCAGGTATTGCTGGTTACATTTTTGGTTTTGTCTAGTTGCACCTGTATGTAGATTTTGGCCAGTTAAAAGCTAATTTGATCTTGTACTTTTGATGGCATTTTTTTGCTCATTCTTGAGCTGTCCATTAGATGTAGCATCAGTTTTATAGTCATTGTCAGGTGCTTTTATCACTAAGAGTCTGAAAGGTTCAGTTGTTTTCCGAAGCCTCTGAACAACAACAGCGTTTTGCAACTTTGCTTCCTCTAGCGTGAGTGTCTCGTCTCGCAGCTCTCGAAACGGCAGCGAAGTAGTCAGTGTGAAGGGAACACTTCCCTCTGATCCTTGATACTTTGTTATGAAGTCTCTGACATGGCTTATTCTGAGAAGAAAAAACAGAAAACTCAGCATTAGAGCACTCCAATCCCAACACAGACCATACAACACAATCCCAACACAACACACATAGCCACCACAAGAAGAGAACGAGACACCTGCTTCATGTAATAGCTGATGGCATAGGACTGGCGGAATATAGATGGGGTGGTATCCTGAAGTGCCTGATCCACTTGGGAGGCAAAGACCAAGGTCTGCATGCTCTGAGTGCAGTCCCAGGGGAAAAAGGATGAGTATCTTATCCTGAGCACTCCAATGCTTCACTATGGCTCAGATGGTAGTTACACAAGCCTACCAGTTCTTAACCACCTGGTGGAGCTCTTACCTGAGGTTTCTGTAGCCAAGAGCTAGAATAAAGATGCCTCCAGTGTATGGTACATGTAGCAGAACCATAATAATAACAAAGAAAAAGGGTTTGCAAAAATTGTCTGGATAGCTTATGAGTTAACTAGGTCTAAATATAGTCTCCTTCTACCAAAGCAGGTGCAGCAGTGAATTCATTACAGATTCAGGCTGCCTGTTAAAGCGTGAAGAACCTTGCAACAAGTGAGCAAGACAGAGGTTTTGCTGTGAAAGAATCAGGATTGACCAATTTAATTAGAAATTGAAGATAACAGGATAAATCTATAGCAGTAAAATAAACATAGTGTCAATGCCCATTCTCTGATCCTGAGGCCAACTGGTAGACTCTGGCTACTGGCAAATTACTAAACTCATCCTTCCTCTCCCCCATGCACAGGGTAGCCCATGGGGTTTACTGCTGCCTGGGAACTAAGCTGAGCTAAGATGTTACTGAGCTAACATCTGAACCAAGCCTAGATATTGTTTGAGAAAGTGCTAGTCGGCTGGGGGGAAAGCCATCCTAACAGTTTAGCAGCACAGATGACCAAGTTTTCATGCCTTAGCCATACCTACTAGGACAGATACAGCCAGCATCTAATTCCTGTGCACGCAGGCCTCAATTAAGAGACAGTGCTTGGTCTTACAAGCCTAGAGCCTGAAAAACCTCAAGCAGGAATAAATTTTTGGTTGGTGTCTATGTGCATTATATCAAAGTTCATTGGGTCCCAAGAGCAACTCAGGCAATTAGCCACCAGCTATCTGCTTTAGGATGAACAGGTTCTTTTCCAGGCTCCATACTGTGATGCTGGAGTAACATGAGCATGGGGTAACTTGGCAACTGCTCAAGAAGGGACACAACTTGATTTGAGACAAAGCTATGTGTGCTATTCCTACAGCACTGCTCTGCTAATTGCTTCACTCTCATGTCTCCTCGATTCCCCATACTGCAGTATTACAATGCTACCTGCACTTTTGCTCCAATGCTGTAACTTCAATCTTTCATCAGTAACCAACTCGTATCTAAAGTAGTAGTTTACTGTGGCACATACACATCAATTTACCCAGGCACTGCAATATATATGCTACAGGTTATTTACCTATAGTTTAATTAACTAATAGTTGACTGTTTTCTGCTTCTGCACTGAAAGGAGTGCTATACATGTAATCATAATGCTTAAGGATCTGTACTCTAAAAGGACTTCCCCCTATTTCTTATTAGGTCATACACAAATACTGTATACAGCACAAACATATGGGTCTTGTGGCAAGAGGATATGTTATGATGGAATATTTATTGCAAGCTACTTCAAAAATAGCACTGCATCGGTAAGGCGGCTGTTCTCCTTATCTCAGACTTTTTTTTTTCATCCACAAGCACTTAGCAGCTGTCCAAACTGCTATTTACCATGAAGACAAAAAGCTTCTAAATATACTTAAATATATGTGTGAATATATATGTGTGAAACCTGGAATAATTAAGATATTAAGCCCTCCAATGAAGTATTTATAATTAAAATAGCAATTGACCCTTCAGCAGTACATCGCAACAGTGTTTCAGTTCACACCTCAGGCCACTAACAGTAACAAATTAGTACAAGTTGAAAAAGTTACAGCCATTAACCTTCAACAGCTGAGCTTTTCTTCTGACCAGCCACAAAGACATACACGGTTATATTGACAGAATCCTGGATTGTATTAAATCTGTGATCACTTTAAATTGCTTCACAGAGAAGCACATGCAACATATCCTTCCTATACGATGTGACTCTATAGTACTGGAGTAATTTCTCAAATTACAAATTTGAGAAAGGTCTCTAAAGACAGTAGTTTTACAATTTAATGTTAAACAGTTAATCCTACTTTCTCAAAGCTCTTGCATACATATGCTGGCTGACACCTTCTGATGTTATCCCCATTTATAAACCTCTTTAGGAACTGGAAATTTTACTCATTAAGAATTAAACACATTGGATGCATTCTATTCTGTCCATGTTGACATGCAGGTGACGAACCTCCCCTGCCTATTGCACTGACTCTGGCCCTCCCTAGAGGTTTCTCTGGCTCAACTCTAAGTCACATCCTCCAGCTCCCAGCTGCGGTGCTGTCTATGCCCAATGACTAGCAGGCTTTTTACTAAACAATTTGCTCCAGATGTAGTCATTTTGTGAGAGATCTGTCATCTTAAAAGCCATTTCCTCTAGTAATGAGCAATACATACACCTTAACTTCCACTAACCTACAAAGAACTCCTACGGTTTCCTCAGATTTTCATTTATGCACTGACTCTTAACATCAGTTCACATTCCTCTTATGCTCCTCTCCTGTCAGCCAAAAGATTTCTCAAGATTTGAAAGGAGGTTTTCTAGATACAGCTGAAGAGCAGTCCAATATTAAGTGAACTGAAGAGGTAGATTATTCACAGAAATTAGACTTATATGTACAGGCATAGGACAAATAGTTCAGATGCAAATACATACAACAGTGCTAAAATAAATCTTACCTATGAGAAACATTGAATTTCTGAATTATCCTTTCCCCATCAGCTAACCAGATCTGGATGTTAGTGATAGGCTCCAGACCATTTAAGGGTACTAAAGGCAGGTGTCTTTTGTTGTCAGGTCCTTGATGATCATCTCTTACTTTAGAGATTATCCTTGGAGTAGCACTGAAAAGAAAAGCCATATGATGTTATGCCTTCTGTGTACACATGTAAGCTTGAACCTCCCTCCAGACCTCTGCTTCTGGAGCCTTCTGCCCCATATCAGGGTGCATTGATGACTTTTTTTTAACAAATATAGGAATACTGACATAAATGTCAGCTTTTTTTTTAACTGTATGCCAATACTTTCTCTTGAAGACTTCAACACGCTAAAGTATTTCAGTTTGCTCATGTTAAACATTTTTACAAGATGGAAGAGAACTTAAATATCAAAGGATTAAATATGAATACACAAGAGATGAAACAGTCTGAACATTCTTTGTGCATTTTTTTGTACTCTAATCACACAGGTGAAACTTCAAGGGGTTTGAGTATTGAATTTGCATACTCAATGTTAATTCTCACTGTAATGTGATTACAGTAATTCAATTTAACTGAATGTTAGCCTTGATTTAGACCTCAGCATCATCTATTTCAGCTTAGAAGCATTACTCATCTATCAGAGAAATTGACTTAATGTGAAAATCTAGGCTGATGCACACACCACTTGGATTTTGCTTTTTTCTAAGGCACTTTCAACAGCTGACCCTACCATAAGGGCAAAGATCCACAAAATGACTTGACAGAATACAGGGACCTCAGTCCAAGTGCGTGATCTTTAAAAAAAAAAATTACTGGCAAAAATTTTTATTCCAAAGAAATGTCTAGAGCTTAGTGCTTCTTTCAGGACTAAGCTTGTTCAGCATGTACTGTTTAAGTCATCATAAGGCCTGATCCAACAGGCACGTCCTCAGCTCATGTGAGTATAACCAGATGTTTGCTAGCAAGACAATAGCAGTGATTTAAGGAGTTACCATTTCTTCTCTGAGCTCAGCTGTGGTCAATGACTACACGAACACTTCATGGTGGTTTATGGAAAAGCTTTCTCTTTGTACAGAAAATTGATGAGTTACTGTTCCTTGAGAGAGAAGTCAGTAACCAACGGCCATAGAATAACAGTCTTAACAATACTGATGTGCTTCGTGGACAAACCCCATCCTTGCATCCTTATGTTCTTGCACCTGTCTTAGCTTAATCATAAAGCAGAAAGTCACAGCCAATTTATTATTAAAACAAAGATGGCTAATGACTTAATATATTCAGGCTAATAAAGTTAGAGTCTTGGACTCAAGTCCTTCTCAGTCTGAGGATTTCAAAAACTCTTATCACCCACTGCCTAGTTAACTGCCCTAAATTCTAGGCTATCAGCCAGTAGAGGCACTTTTTATTTCTTCCATTGAAAATCTGCAAAAAGAATGAGAATCAAGGAATCTGATTCCCAAGTGAGTGATAAGAGATGTTCACTGCAACTGGAGGCAGATGAAAGGCACAGAATTGACTGTTTTTCATTACACAGAAATCAGCTGGGGCACAAGAACTTGGCACCAACAGATTCCAAGAGGCACATCTGTAAAACATTCTGGTACTCCAAGTACAGGTGACTTACTATCACCCACCTGACTCTACTGATTTACTTCTCACACCCAGCTTCTGTTCATGCTTGACCTCAATACAAAATAAACCCTAACTGCCCTCCAGATCTGGAAAAAACAGCTTGAGCACTAGCAAGATAATGTTAAACAGTCTCGGGAGCAGAGCAAAAAAAAAGTTCAAGTCATACTTCAGTCCAGCAATGATCAGCTTTTGCTGTCTACTTGATCCGTGGCGTTCAGTTCCAGGTTCAGACACTGAAGTATAAGCACTCGTGTGAGCTAGCTGTCTCCAGTACAGTGGAAGCTGGAGAGGTAGTCAACCATGCAGCTGCCAGGCATCTGGTTTAGCCTGGGCTGAACTACATTTTAGCCCATCAGTCACAGTTGTAGTTCAGACAACTGTCTCAAATGGATACAGATTTTGATGTCATTCTCAAACTGACTTCCTTCATGGTCACGTCTCAGAATTTGTGGTAGGCACTGGAGATGATTCTTTCAATAGCAAGTATGTGTGAAACTGAAGTCAACACGTTAAGCTAAACTGCAAGAGAAAGTTAGCAGATCTATATTCACCAAGGTTTAAAGCATTTCTATACTAAATAACTTTACTCTTGTAGAGCTGACAGATAAAGCCATCTAGTGGTGGGAGCTTTGACTAAAGCCACAAACCAAGAATCTAAGTCTCTTATTAGCCTGAGATCAAAGCATTATCACCCCCTTTAAAGGCTTATTCTTTTTACAAGATTATCAAAAGAAGATGTAAACTAAAGATCGAAGAGACAATAAGAGCCTCCTGTCAATTTTCTGAAAAGAAAAAGCCCAAGAGTTAGGTATCATGCCTTACCCTGACTAATGGTTAAGAAGCTTGGCACACAGTGTTTTACCCTAATGAGGTTATAGAGCAAGCCCACTTTGCTACAAGGGATTTCAGTCAATAGTTTAATTAACATGCTTCTGAGGCAGCCTTTAAAATGCACTGATAAGCTTAATAGAAAAATGCAGTTGAAAATCTTGTTTTAGTCCCAAACTATTAAATGCAGCTGAACGGTGGTAGATAAAACAGAATATACCCATTAGTTGTATAGGTTTATAAGGTATATTGGAAACTTCTGGTAAGACTCATTTGTTTATCCTGTACAACAAAAAGGGAGAGGATGAAGCTCATCTGAGTTATATCAACAAACATATTTCTAGTTCCTCCATTTTTCCTCCAACACAAGTTTTAATGAGCCAGTCAACAGACCGATTCATAATGGTTCCTCCACCACATAATCCATCCATCTGGGAACACTGGCAGAAAATTCTATTCTAGACTATTAAAAAAATGTTTATTTGCTAAGAAGTTTAGCTAGGTCATAAGATGAAGTAAACTGTTCAGTCATTTGCCTCTCTCATTTCTGATTAAGCACACAAATGCAACTGTGGAAAGGCAGTTCTATAGCTTAAAACTTGTTACAGGTCTCAGACAGCACTGCTATTTCCCCACAAAGCTTTTCTGCTAAAAGAGTAGCATATGCACGCAATGGACTTACTAACAGCAGGAAGCGACCACTAGTTTATGGAATAAGAGCACTTATGGCTCCTGTTTCCAACATCAGCAAAAATATTTACTTGTCTTTAAAGAAAAGGCTCTGATAGTATAGCACTGAAGAGACTAGCAAGAGTAGAAAAAAAAAAGCATTTTATCAGTCTGTAAAGAAAAAATGCTGAGCAAGTCATAGGATGTCTCAGCATACTAGACCAGTCAAACGAAATTCACAGAATAGTATGCTTCCAGAACCTAACTCGCCTATTGGGAAGCAAGATCATTACTTGCTGTAGACATGACAGAGCACAACAAGCAACTGAACAACCTACCATTTAGCACTGGTTAGCAGCAGAAACCCAGCACACTGAAGATCTTTTTGCTTTTGCTATATACAGGTCTACTTGTAGATAAATTAATGTTAAGTTCTTGACCCTCGTTTGCTCAGGATTTCAGTGCTACCAAAAGCAAGTCTTGCAGCATCTCATCCATCTCTCAAGGGAAGATTTTCCCTATTGACTGTATCTACTCAAGCATGTAGCAACTGAATGGACTGTGCTACAGAAACAGATGAAACTGATAAAACAGATACTTGCTTCTCTGAGGCAGCCTGGAACCACTCATCCTTTACCATTATCAGTCTCTTACTCTGCACATTATCTTCTTTCCCTGCCTCATCCATTCCTACCCAGGTCACGCTTTCCCTCAGCACACACACTGGGCCTTAGCAGCAAGCCCTTTCCACCTAATCAAAACAAGCTGTTCACCTAAGGTTTCACCACAGTCTAGTAACCCCAGTTGGCAGGTCCCTAAGCTGTCCCACCTGTGAAGCTTCCTGTAGGCTCCTGGTCACTGAATGTGTTCTGTTCCCTAGGCTGAAGTCTGCTTTTATAGGCATGTAAGTCTTACACACCAGGGATATGTGAAACAGATAATTTGGCTGGAGTAAGCAAAAGTGACAGGGATCAAATACATGAACTCCTGGCCTGCCCCTCTACAACAGCCTTCTGAAATACAGTACTGTTTGGTTCTAAATCAAGTCCAGTTTTAGCATTGGCATTAGTGGCTGACACTCCAACCACAAGAGAGTCATGGAGTGAAGGAAAGAGGATCACTGTAACATGCTAAAATGTCTTACTGCAATAAATGCATGGTTAAATAGTGAGGAATTTTAAGGAAATGCAAAATAACCTCTTACTTCTTCAGTACCCTTTATGGGATTGTCATACTCCCCTCTTCTCACACAAAGTATTGCACATACAGCTTTAAAAGAGATTCTTTTCTCTTAAATAACCGAATAGAAGAGTGACAGCCTTTCAGCTGGAATCAGTTCTGATAATATTGAGACCTTGAACAAAGAAAGCCAACAGGATCCTGGTTGTATTAACAGGAACACAGCCAGCAGATTGTGGGAGCCCATTATCCCACATGCCACACCCATTAGACACACCTAAATACTGCATTCAGATTTGGTACCCAGAATAAAAGAAAGGTGTCAATAAACTGGAGCAAGTTCCACAGAGGGCCACCAAGATGGCCGCAGGCTGGAGCATTTGCCCTGTGAGGAGAGGCTGGAGGAGAGGGGCTTGTTCAGCTTGTGGAAGAGATGGTGTCAGGGGGGACGCGCCTAACAGCAGCCTGCCAGGGTCTACAGGAGGTCATCAGGAGGGTGGAGCCAGGCTCTTCATGGTGGACATAAATGGAAACAAGAGACTTTCAGACCAGATATAAGAAAAAATTTCTTTCCCATGAGGGCAGTCTAGCACTGAAGCAGGCTACGCAGCTTCCACTTGCAGGATTTCAAGGCCCAACTGGATAAAAGCCTGAGCAACCTCATTTGTCCCCACAGCTGATCCTGCTTTGAGCAGGAGCTTGGATTAGAGATAGAGGTCACTTCCAACCTGAATTATGAGATCCTTTACCATAGGTACCATTCCCTTCAGCTATTCAATCACAGATCACATCAGACTACTCACCTTCCTAATCTGTAACCGTGTCCAGAAAAGGGATGAAAGATTGGCTTTTTTGATGACAAACACACCTTATCTTTTTTATCTTCCACTTTCACATCTACCTCCTCCTTATCAAAAACTTTTCGTAGCTCAAAAGGCAGTTCCCTTAAGAAAAAAAAAAAGAGTCAGAAAAAGAAATACTATACTGTTTTCAGTATACAAAATAGATTAATGATTAATACCTGTTCTATGTTTATCCTTTCAAGGATTTAAAAAAAACAAACCACCACTTCACAAGTATTTACTAAGAGTTACATTAAGCGCATGACATACAAACAACTTCAAGTTCCTGAACTGCAAATTAACTAGAAAGTGAACAATAAAAAAACCCATCATCATGCAAGTTGTTGAATGATGTTCAAATTTACTCAGCAGTTACCACTCAAAAGCACATTATGTGTAGGAAGTTCAGTATTGCCATACATTGCTGCAAAAGGTTCAATTATTTTATCCCCATAGTAAAACAAGAAGAAAAAAAAAGACAATTGGCCTTTAAAGAGAAAGAACTGAGTTTAGACACAATGTGTTTAATTACAAATAAACACAAATCTCAGCTTTTAAAAATTAGATCATCACTAACAGCTACACTCTTTAGTACAGTAGCATCACCTCGGTAATGCTTTATTTGCATTAAGCAGAGCACAACAATGCCTTTGTCTTTGAGCTCTGATGCAGATACTACATTTTCGGGTGGTGGGGCTCAGCTGGCACAGGGGCTGTACTAAGTGGTTCTCTACCATCAATGATTATGCAGGAACCATCTTGTAATTAGCATCTTCACAAGCATATGGTAGGAGAAAACTGGCAAACTTTTGATGCATGCACACAAAGAAAGCAAAGGGCTTTAAACAATGCAATTAATTGCTATTACAACTAACACAGGTGACAGCCTTAGAGGAGAAATACAGTGTAAAATTAGTATTTTTGATGGGCTAGCAAAGTATGGAACAGACAAAAAATACAATGGCTTAGTAATTTCACATACTTGAAAAGGAGTTATTAAATTATGTTCTCCATAAATTATATTCTCCTCTCCATTTGTATGGGGTGAGGAAACAGACTACGAATTAAAGGCTCAAAATTACATTGGTTTGTATGGTCAACCTGCTCTTTTAAAGCAACGTTGCAAACACTAGCAGAAATCAGCATAGCATGCTAATTTTTAACAGGGGGATAAAAGTAAGATTGCTATATACACACAAATGACTGAAATAGCAAGCTTGTACTAGGAAAAATGTCTGAAGTTAGGACTGATGGGAGTTTCTTGATGTTACATGGAGCAACTGTGCCCACTTAAGGCTCTTCATCAATAAAAAGAAAACAAAGACCATAAAACCAGAAATGCTCAACCACTTGTGCATTGAGTTCATTAGTCAATGTACCATTTGATCAGTAGCTCTTACTGGGCACTCTGATTTATTCATTTCATTCTGCACCTGCTGTGCCCCCTATCAACACTCACTTTTACCTATTTCATCAGCAACTGTACGACTACTGCAACTGAGTGCTGTATTAGACCTGTTGATGTTCAAACAGCCATTAGCACTGCAGGAACTGAGACAGGCAGTGGCCTACGCTCCTACAGGGATACTGTAGTGCAGCAAAGCCAAGCAGCTATGTAAAAAATTTTAGAGCATAAGCTAAGTGCTATCCAAAGCACATTAACTCAGGCTGATTAAGAACACAAAACTTACCTACCCTTTTTTAATGGAGTCCAAGAACTGCTGGTTTGCAACATCAGTGTAGCTCCTAAGCTCACCGTCATTTACTGTAAACCCATTTTTCCAAAGTTTAATGATTACATCAACCTATAAAATAACAACAGTTCTCATTATAACACTGATGTAAAACCAGCTTGGTACAGCCACAGTACCCTATGATTGTAAATCATCCACTGCACGGACTAAAAATACTGAGAGAAGGCTCACTATAATCTGTTTCAGCCCTGTGCCAACAGGCAGAGCAACTGCAAGGGGTAAGTGACATTTCTAAGTATCTTGTGTCAATCAGGGTTAGGAATAAACCTTCCCCCAATCATTTTGCTTTCCTAGGTCAAGAACACTCCTTCAATTCAGCAGAAGAAAAAAAAAAGCTGGAAGATCCCAGCCAGCTGCAACTCTTCAAGAGCTAATTTGAGAGCACACATGCCTGGTGTTGGAACACCAACTACCAGAATAGTCCAGCTGGGAATTTATTAGGGTAAAGCCTCGCTCTGATCATTCAGGAGGATTTTCTGAAAGTAAGGCATTGAGATAATGCATGCAGAAGCCTTTCACTTAGCAAATGCGGCAAGTATCAGAAAATTTACTTTCAGGCAGTCATACATTTATGTTACCCTGGAATTCCTGGGTATATTCAAAACCTTGGTGTTAGGAGAATGAAAAAACAAATTCTCAGTAATTCATTAACTTTACCAGAGAACATCCACTACTTCAACTTGTAGCCTTCACACTGTTCACTGAAATCTCTCCAACTTTAACACGGATATATCTGGGATTGCATTTTCATATTTATGCATCATGCCATTTAAGGCAGCATTTGATCATCCAGGTCTGATCCCTGAAATAATGTCTTGACAGATGCTTGGCCACATGTGAGGTATATGCAGCATGTACAAAGACAATTTTATCTTTTTTTTTTTTTCTTTTTTTGCAGTTTGACTTGTTATAAGATGATTGCTACAGAAATACACAGCATGTGCAAACTGCTGAATAAAATTCCTTCTCTTCTGGTTGGGTAATCTGTCAAAAAGGTATATAGCACTCAGCAAAATTAGATTCTTTTAAAAAGTCTTGTGTCTCATGGCACCAATGCATTTAAAAGGAGTTCTCATCACAGGAAGGCTCCTCCACCATGAACCAGTATGCAAGTTTAACATGGACTAATTATTCCATACCAACTTCCCATTTAGACATTGACACAAGTACTGCCATGGAACACTATTTTAGAACTGCAATTTAAGGTGTTGCTCCTGACACTCCTTTTCTCCCAGGCTCAGCTGGGGATCCATGAATGTAATTTCCAGCAACGCCCACTCCAAATTTCTCCTTGGCATCTTTGTTCTACATGGCCTTTTCTCCAGCCCCTTACCAGTCTTCGGGGAGTAACAGAAAAACATGAAAAGGACAGAATCGCTGAGATACAAACCATACTAAACATCCTGCTACTACCACAACTACACAAATGAGAGCAAATGAAAAATAGTAAGAGCCAGAGTGCAGAAGCATAGGCCTGGTTGACTAAGAGATGGGAGACTGTTCCCACTGCTGTCTGAATTCTGTGTGCATTTATTTACAGATGTACTGGATAAGACCGCTGAACTTCCTGCATTTGTTTTCCAGAGTACTCCTGGAGTGTTATTATGTTAAACGTGAGTATTTTTTCTTCACCGCCTACCTGGTTCTTGATCGTAGTTGGAGCCATACATATAGCACCAACCTTCTGAGCTTCTTCAAAAAGGTTATCTACAAAGTAGTCACAGTTTTGTTCTGTACCATTCAAAATTTGATCATCGGTTCCCGATTTACACATCCTGCAGAACAAAGACATAAGTAAAAATGATGCCTCAGAGAACACATTAGAAGACAAGCAGTTACCCTAGAAGTTCAGTACCAAGAGGTGTAAAAGGCATGCTCCCCTGCACCCAGCTTACTCGGTTGTCACAAAACATCAGGTCAACTTTGCGTTGTGCCTTTTCTAGAAACTTCTTCCAAGTCTCTAACTGCTACTATTCGCAATAGAAAAGGTGAATTCATCTATGCAGAAGCTTCTAAACTTCGTATCAGAGCAAGGAATGCAAGTTAGATGATTCATACTTCTAATTCAGACCATCAAACATTTAACTGCATACCAATGAAAGGCCTTCCTTAAAGCATTTCCATGATATAGGCTTGGGTGACTTCCTTTGCTGTAACTTTTAAAAACCACATACAAGAAAATTGCCCTAGGATTTACTCCCCCACCCCCACTTGAACCTCCCCATTCCCAGCACCATCACAGAACCACCGCTACTGTCTTTGAAAGTACATTAGAGAAACTCAAGAGCAAGTGACTAAACACGACTTGAGCACACTGAAGAAATACAATAGAAGACTTCAGTACTGTGGAGACTGCCAGAGTATTAAAAAAGATGCATCAACCACATCTTTTTATAGAACATTGTATATGTGGCAGCTGTTTCTGTTAGATTTTTCCAATCAAAATGCAGAAATATGCAACCTGAATGAATAATTATCTTTCAGTTTAGGTTCTTTGCATAGTAAGAGGATTATGCAGCTTTTGGTAAACATTGCAGGAGTTATTCCTGTTGGAGATTCAGAAAAGCCTATTTTAAGCAATTCAGAAAAAAAAATCCCAGCTCTTGAAAAATATCCAGTTTTACGTAAAACTCTGCATTGAATTCAAGAGCAGCAATGCTTACTTGAATGGTAATTAGATACATTTGCATAAAAAGGAATTGTTTGCAGTGCATCTACGCAACATACTAAGAATCCCTACAGATTAACATCTTTAAACAAAAGAAACACTCAACAACATTAAAGAAGAAATTTCAAAACTATGCTGTCCCCATTTTAGTTTTCTAATAGAATGAAAGAAACTTGAAGCGTTAATCTAGGTATTCACTATGCCTTACCTCAGAAACATAACTGGAAAACCAAACACCTCCGTATCAAATGTAGAGGTGCACAGTGACCTAGCAATTTGTAAGGCTGCCTTTCTATTTTAAATAAAAATAATTACACAGCTTCTTGCATCTAGGAAACATTCCAGGTATGTGAAAAACCTTTTAGCAAAACAATTTTTTTTTTTTTTAAACTTCAGTGTATAAGTGGAGCACAGGTGGATAAGAAAAAAAACCTGAAATTTTAAAATTTAACGAAGTTTGAAAAGTCATGTCAGGACACACAAGCAGCAATAGGAAAGGAAGAGGGAAAAAGGGGGAGGGGGGAACTGGCACCTACCATTCTTTCTTTACAGTTTTGATATTGTCCATGTCTTTCATTCTGGTGCTTCACCTAATTATGAAAAGAAGATTGTTTTTAAAAAAAACAAAACAAACCGAAACGATCAAACAAAATGCCCAGAACACTTTGCCTCCTTTTGCAGCTGAAACACTCTTTATAGTTTTTCCTGTGTTGATAGTACATTTAACCAGAAACCTCAACCTCCCCCCCACCAAGTCTCCAGATGGTTCTTTGTTTTCCTGCAGTTTCTGATTTAATGACACATGAACCATGCATCGGTTTCAGACATTCAAAAGGAAGATTACTTTTTCATAAATGTACAAAATAAATTCCACAATAATCATGTGAATTGAAAATATATGCCTATATTTATGCTAAGCGAGGAAAAAAAAAATCACATTCCTTTTCTGAGTGGCATGATTTTAACTCCCCTGATTTTTCACGCTATGAGACAGTTGCAGAAAAACTGCACTGCCACTGCAGGCATTCTAATGACCTTCACCTTAATAGTGTCCTTTATCAAAAGGCACAAGTTTTATCAGGTTCCTCTTCCTACCATACCTCAACATATTGGTGCAGCATCCCAGAAACTGTGAATTATCATTTCTGGTCTACCATTTAGCTGGAAAGAAAATCCTGGATTTGCAAGTACTAAATATACTACGGGATTAGTCTGCTGAGTCAAAAGAAATGAAGAATGCCAACTGATCTCATTATACTCACTTCTGAGCCCTCTGAAAAAAAGTTGTAGAAAGTCACAAAAAGCCAGAGACTCCCAAAAACACCCTTAAAAAAAAATAAAATCACTCTAAAATCAGACAAGCCCCCAGGCACAGTTGCAACTGTGTTTAAAGAGTTATTCCTGAAGACCGCTCGGTACAGGTTACACAGATGATGTTCTGCTCCTGGCAAGTTTGGGACTAAGTCACAATACTGTGCATGGCTTTTTAGAGAGCGTCAAACTAAGCAGTGACAGCCATCGTACTCCTGAAAAAGTAGTATGCACAGCAAGACTGAAATAAATTTTAAGTGGTCTTGACATCTAATTTAACAAGATGGAGAGGTTAGGGGGAAACAACACTCACTGCAGTACTAACAAAAAAAAAAACCCCATTCAGTTATTCAGTACTAATTCATGTTCCTCAGGAGGTTGATATTGGTATTCTTTCATGTTGAAAGTTAAATCCTTGTGAGACACGTTCTGTAGAAATGTATATAAGCCTTCAGAAAACCCCCTTAATGACCAAAAAGATTCAGTCAATATGCCCATAACAGGTTTTAAAGTTTAGGCAGCCTTCAATTTAACCGATGCTGTTATGCATTAGGTCAAAACATTATACTTGCACACCCTTGACATGTCACACAAGATCACAAGATGCGGTACAGTCTCCCCCCCCCCCCCCCCCCCCCCTGCCAGAGCATTATATATATCAGGCAAGCCTGTGCTGGTACATTATGACCTTATAAGCGTATCTGATTGCTGTACTTGGAACTTTGTACCTGCACTTGGAAAAAATGAACTTTCAGTACCAAGTAAGTGTAGTGTATTTAAGAGTGCTTAAAAAATGTAATTTTTCAAACTTCTCCCAAAGTTTTAACACACTTTAGCACAAAGTAATTTTTTGTGTTTTGTGTTAATGTGCTTATCTTCTAATTTTTCACTATTCAATGGACTACTCCCCAAAGCAACAAGAGCCACCTCCAGCCATCTGCTTTTGTTGATTCTCTGTGACTTGTCATCAGAGCTGTTTAAAAGAGACAGACACAGTGAAGCAGCTCTTCAAATTAATTGTTTTGCTACATGAGGCTGGCCTCAAATGTGCATGAATAGTGTTCAAAACTGGTCAGCTATGAAAGTCGCTGTTCCTTCTAAAGTACAACAGCAATTACACTTAGAAGAAATGTTTGTGTTAATATATCAAGGTAAAGAAATCAGCCTATACAGCATATTGATGTTTATCACGACCAAAGAGCCATTAGGAGATAGTGATCAGACTGCACTGCAAGCACTTTAGCTCAGCAAGCCAACCCAACTAGCACAAACAACCTCTCCCGCCAACTTCTGACAGACATCCCTAAATGTCGTGTAAAACATTAAGAGTTTTGGTGCATATTTTTTGTGCCTGTGATAAAAAGTAGCACAGAACTGAACTTCCACCTCTGGAAATTTAAGAAAAGGAAGAAGCTGAAGCTGCCAGCAGCCCACCACAGCTACATCTGTTCACTGTGGCAGGATACTCCTGGCCTTTCCTGGCGCAGATCAGCTTCTCCTGCCTCAAGGGCTCTCCACCCCCGCGAGGCTCCATCCCTGCGACCGGCTCCACGGGGGACAGGCCACTTACCCAGCGGTGGCCTTTCACTGCCAGATCTTTGAAACACACAGCTCTCACCTGCAGTTATAGACACACTAGTTTCGGCAGACATTTTTGTGCTCAATTTTGTTGAGCCCACACATCCAGTTATTTTAATGCGACGAAAACGAAAGAGAAACTACCTCTGATGCTTTCTTTGCTCTGAAGGACAGAAATATTCAAGCAACCACATAGAGCCCCCTCTCCCCCACTAAAGCCTGTCTTACTAACTTCGGCAGAAAGTAAAACTTCTCAGGTTGAAAACTGTTTACAGCAGAGCGCAGTCTATCACCACACGGAAATTATAACTGAAAACTGCACTGTACCGTGTGACAAAGAAACTAGCTGCTACAGAGAAATGGCAAGTGCAAATTAAAAGCAAGATGAGCATCAAACGTAATGGCCTGAACATGACTGATACGCTCAGGTAAAAATCACAGCATAAACGTTTCCTCTCCAGCTGGCTAGAAGGGCTGTGCATTTTGGAAAGAAACCCGACGCCCCCCCCCCCCC